ATATATATATATTACATGTTTATAATATATTACATGTTCGTAATATATACGTTTATCATTTTTTTATTCTTTCGCGTTTATTCTTTACTTTTCTGAAGCACTTTTAATAAATGCGAATTGAATCAAACAAGCGATTGTTCATTCAGCATGATCATCGTATATGAATATTTATAATGCTAAAATTTAAAAGTAATTCATAATATCATATATGAATTGTCGCAAAATTACAATTTTTTTTTCTGTTACCATCTCTCTGGATAATCAAACACGGATGGTATCTATAAAAATCCAGTTTTAAATAAAATTATATAACTATTATAGCATTATATATTATAAATATATGTACATGTCTAAAAAAACGTTCTAGCTAATAATAAATCATAAAATTAATATTATATTTTTGGCTAATTACTTTTAAATTTTAACAATTATTGCTAAATATATAGCCACGCTAAACTCCCGTAAGATTGTCGGCCTTTAATAGTATCTATCGTCGACATCTCTGCGTAAACAAACTTTCTTTTTTATGCAGGATTCAGGTCCCGTTTAATCACGTTGCGATTGGAGCAACAGCCATTCACAGCCGCCTAAAGTTTGTCTCATTGGACCAACCAATCAGAAAAATTTACATTAAATTGGTCAATTAGTGACGCGGGCAATTGGAGACAAACTGCTCGCTGATTAAAAAAACCCTAGGAAACGACCTCTCTCATTGGCTATCGTACCGTCGATCGGTTGGTCGCGATGTGAATCCTGCATTAGACCAGAAAACGCGCGCGCTAACTACACGCTCTACGTCTATGGAAACGGCGCCCGCTGCTGCCATTCTGGCATTACGTCAATGGTGGAGGTCTCATTGGTTTGGGAGGAGTTGCTGTGACCGCCATTGCTTACGACTCTCCTCGTCGTATTACGGGAACGTAGTGAGAATCCCGAATTTATCCGCATTCCTCCCCCCCGTGGCGCGTGTCGTGGCCGAGAAGAGCCGTTTACTTCCGGGTGTATAGATCTCGTTCGCGCGGACCACAGACGGATCCCGATCAGCCGACGCGTTCCTCAGCGTAGCATGTCCACGATGAATCCCGAGTAGTGAGTAAACCTTCCTTCTGCGCAGACATAAGTGTAGCGAATTTGCCACTACGCGCGGTTTATCGGGCGACGATGACGCGCCTCTTCGCGACGGATCGTCGTCCACGTTGCCGCGTCCGCGGGATCCTCCGCCCGCCGGGCCGGGGAACCAGGGAAAATGTAGTGTCCTTTGACTTTCTCGTCCCGTCTGACAGATTCACCCTTCCCTCTCGTCGCGCTTTCCCCTACTACTCGAAACATGGCACTCTCGTATCGTAATCCGTATTTCTCAGGATTTTCTACTGTCACTTTGTTTTCACTTTGCGTTTCACCCCGACCTTGGCCCTTTCCTCATAATTCATAATAATCCCGAGTAATACGAGCGGAGTAAATGGTTAAATATAGATCCTTTTTTTGGGGAGAGGAGGGATTTTATAAGAATTTACCTCTCACACACAAGATGATTTCTCTGATTTAAATGCCATGTACCACATGTTATATCAGCTGTCTTTTTAAAGTGGAGACGTCAAATCATATTTTTTTTCCTTTCCGTTCGTAAAAATGTGTTCTCAAAATTGAGCTGTAATATATATGTGCTTAAACAACTTCTATTTGTTTCAGCGATTATTTGTTTAAATTGCTTCTAATCGGAGATTCTGGCGTTGGAAAGTCCTGTCTCTTGTTGCGCTTTGCCGATGACACATACACGGAAAGTTACATCAGCACGATCGGCGTGGATTTCAAGATTCGAACTATCGATCTAGATGGAAAGACGATAAAGTTACAAATCTGGGATACAGCGGGTCAAGAACGGTTCAGAACAATCACGAGTTCTTATTATCGAGGTGCACACGGTATTATTGTTGTTTACGACTGCACAGATCAGGAGACTTTTAACAATGTAAAACAGTGGTTGGAAGAAATCGATCGTTACGCCTGTGATAACGTCAATAAGCTGCTAGTCGGCAATAAATGTGATCTACATACTAAAAAAGTAGTGGATTATACAACGGCCAAGGTAAATGGTTTTGCATACGTTTTTCCTCGATATTGCATTTAATTGCATAATTAATTGCAATGCAACATAATTCATAAGAATCTTACTATAATTCTCATTGCATAGTCGTATATTATTGTAAACAGGAATACGCTGATCAACTCGGTATACCATTTTTGGAAACGTCCGCGAAGAACGCGATGAATGTAGAGCAAGCTTTTATGACAATGGCCGCGGAAATAAAACTCAGAGTGGGCCCACCGTCGAGCGGAGCGAGCGATCCGGCCAACAAGGTGAAGATAGAGCACGGGCGTCCAATCGAATCTTCTAAATCTGGATGCTGCTGAGAACTGTAATCGTGCGTCTTGTTTAACCAAAGTAAGCGAAACGACGTGTAAATTGAATGAGCCTAATTAGATCTAAGCTCGAGTATTGGAATCATTAATTCAATCGGGGACAATGACGATCTTTTTTGCAGAACATCTCTAATGTGGTTGCGGTCCGGGTACTGCAAAAATTAAACTTATTACCGCAAGTATAAGAACGATACATGGAAGTTTTAGTTTACTCCAACAGCAAAAAAAAAAAACAAAAGAAGGGATAAAAGAATCTAACACACACACTCATGGACCACCAACTCTTCCTCGGAGTTGTACGAAAAAGAAAAAGAGAACTCATGTCCGCCTGCCCTAAAATTTTACGTTTTTCTGTAGTTATCTTTCTTTCCAAAGAAGAAAAGACGATGGTTAATCAACGCCATTTTCTAGTATAAAGTTCGACCTTAGATAAATTTGTCGAATTAGTATTGAGTAACGTCGAGCGAGAGAGTGTAGGTGTGCGTGTAATGAGGGGTGGGAGGGGAGGACAACTCGGGGTCTTGAGGGAAGTAAATTGAATTAATACTGCGTACGGTGGTTACTACTTGATAAGCACTTTAATTTTTTTTCTTTTTTAGCCTAATTGTAATATGTACAATAGAGATATGTGTTTTGGCTCTACGGCCAATTTCTATTCCTCTATACAAATAATCCAAATGACGTTTTCTCATGTTCTTTGTTTCGTTCTCTATTTTGTTCTTCTAGATGCGCAAGAGGGCTAGGTCATTGTTTTTCTTTCCCTAGTGAAATTCCGCACAAGCAACGCGATACCCCCCTTTCCTTTCTCACTGCTCGTTTTATACGTATGTATAATATATATACTTATCGTGTATATTATACATATGTGTATATATATATAGTGTAATTTAATAACAATAAATATTTCAATGCTAACTCGGAGCGCATACGTGGCGTACTTTATACATATATATAAAAATATACATATATATATATATTTTACATATATATGTACAATGTATCTGAGAGATGTGCCGCTCGCGTGGGCCCCCAGAGCCAAACGACGGAGCGGCGAAGTCTCCGTTTTGCGTTTACCTAAATTTTATCGCTTATCCTCGTCGTGCTTTCTGTTTTTACACACGGTTCAAAATGCGATCCGAGAGTCTACAACAAAAAAAAAAAAAAAAAGAAAAAAAACTGCGAAATCTGCGAAACCAGCAGCTTCGATCGAGCGGAAGAAAAAAAGCGAGGATATTTTATACGAGTTAAGAGATATTACAGTTACATGTAATCCAAAAATAATAAAAAAAAATCGTAGCTTTGTATCGTGATGAAAGGGCTATTTGTGACGGGTATACGATATAATGGCATTTCGAAAAGTTACAGATATAGTAACTGTAATTATATATATAAAAGTACGGATGAATAAACAGACTATCTAAACGGAAATCGCATTCTTCGAATTCCGGGTCACTTTGTTTCGTGATCGTCACGTGTACACAGATGCGTCACACATACGCGCGCGCGCGCGCACGATACGTATGTGGCGCGTGGGCGTGTAGCCTTTCACGTGTTCGTTAGAGCGTGCTCGTCACCTCTCGGAACAGCTCATCACATCTGACGAAATGTAATGCGATTAATCGTAAGGTGATCATAATTTAAGATCGTCGTTCGGTCTTTGGAATGGCTCGGGATGGCTTGGTACGATTTGAGATTCCGTCCCATCCAATGGAACGCGATCGGTGCATCACCTTCTGAGATCATATTTAAAATAATCTTAAACGTAAGGATCGGACTATGAAGACGTGCCCTTAAGCTTGCGCCGGACTCGTGCGCGACTCGAGGCGATTCCATAAAGTCCGCGTTTAGCTACTCTCACGAGATTTGCGTCCGACGCGAACGGCGAGCTCGCGCACGTCATTCCGCCGATCGCGTCGATTCGTCATCGGTTTTTTTTTCTCTTTTTGTTTTGACGAAATTAAAGGGCCGCGAATCTCACGTCGATCGGCCGCGAATCGCCGGAGCAATCGCGTCACGTTGACATCTGGCGGCCGAGCTCGCTCACTAAGAACAACATTCCCGTGCGCGGTCGAACGCGGTCGTGATGCCAATCGTACATACGTAGACGCACGTTTCTCGGAATCCGGGAAACGCGAGGCCGGGCGAGACAGATTAAAAAAAAAAAATGCACGCCTAGAATCGCGCGGTATCGTAATTAACGAACGAACAACGATGGTCGTCCTACTCTCGCAGCTCCTGTGAGCTTCCCGCGGATCGATCGAGTGTTGCGACTTAACCTATTCACCATACATTTCTACTTTCATGCTGCTCTGCAACCGTAAATCGTTTCAAAATGATGCAACAATATATGAAGGAGCTGGAGCAGGTTTCGATCGACCTTCTTTTTCTTTTCCGTCCACCGATTTCATTTATTTCACACTCGATAGCTCGATATGTTTAGTCGTTAAATTTCAAGTATTAGATCAGCTGCTGACAAGCGCCAGTTTCAATCGAATCAATTTCAATAATTAATTTTATGCCGATTAATTTATGCAATTGTTGTGCAATATCGAGTTGAGCTGGCGATCAAGTTGACGTTGCCGTGAACGGATCACAACTGTTTCGCAGGATCCATTTGACCCCGAAGAATTTGTCGAGAGACTAGCCTGGAGGACCGTCAACGATAACACGAAAGATGGGGGAAAGACGTTTTTCGACCCGGTTATCGTCCACGAGACCTTTTTGCAAGCGATTAAAGACTTACAGATACTGCAGGAACGCCAGCAAAAGAAGTGCGACAGACTGGAGGCTGCGCTGAAGGAGGAGGAGGCTCGGCATACGTTTGAGATATTGGAATTGCAGGAGAGAAACAGGCACTCGATCGACTTGTTCCATCAGTTGGACGAGAGGATAAACCTCGTGGCCACGAAAGTCCTGCATCTGGGTGATCAGTTGGAAAGCGTCAATACGCCGCGGGCGCGGGCGGTCGAGGCGCAAAAGTTGATGAGACACTTCTCGGAATTTCTGAGCCCCGGTCCACTGACGGATCCGATTTTCACAGATAAATCCTCGGTAAGTAAAGATGACCAAGCTAATTTAATTTAACTAAACGACAAAGTGTGTATAATGGATAAAAATAAAGTAGCGGGACCGAATTATTTATTCAATCGTTATTCGTTGACGACAGCTGAACGATGCCGCGGACGTGATACAGAAACTCCATCTCATAGCCCAGGAGCTTCCCTCGGAGAAATTCGAACACGCGAAGAAGAAGATCGGCGTCAAGTACGACGAGATAGAGCGGAATCTGATCGAGGAGTTCGTGAGGGCGCACAACAGGGAGGACGCGCCGCGTATGAGGGAATTGGCGAGCACCCTGGCGAATTTCAAGGGCTACTCGCAGTGCATCGACGCGTTTATAGAGCAAAGTCAAATGGGCTCCTTCGGCGGGAAGGACGTCTTCCAGGACGTCATACCCATGTGCACGAAGTATCACAAGCTTATGCAACAGGTGTTCACCAATCCCGAGCAAGTGATGGCCAAGTTTGTCCTGAACATATATCATCTGCGCCTTCAAAAGTACGCGGTGGCCAAGCTGGCGGACAAGAGCGACTCCGAGAAGTATCTCAGAAATCTGTACGACCTGTACACGAGGACGGTCAAGCTGTCCAACGATCTGAAGGTCTTCAATATGGGCACCGACGAAACTTACCTTCCCAAGCTTACCAGAAACATCTTTCAGAAATATTTAGATACTTATATCAGGTAAGTGTCGCATGCAGAATAACGTCGCCGAAAACAACAGAGAGAGTTGTTGATCCCAATATAAATTATCTCTCGTTTCAGTATCGAAACGAAGGCATTTCGGGAGAAGTCGGCGACGTTGCTTATCGAGTACTACGAATCCAAGAATCATCAGAAGAAGCAGCTGCAGACGGGCGGCTTTCAGGAGCTGCGTAGAGACTTGCAGGCTGTACTGGGTGCACGAACGAATATAAACATTGCTCAAATAGAGGATTACGGGGGCGAGACGTTTTTGTCGGAGGAACTGGCGATCGCGATACTCCAGAGAAGCAAGCAGGCGTTTCAGAGATGTCAATTACTCTCGCAGTCCGTCGACGTGCCCGCGAATGCGCTGCAGATCCTGGAGATACTGTTGCAGTATTTAATAAGCGAGCACGTGGACTACGCGCTGGAATTGGGCCTGCAAAGTGTACCGATACCCGAGAGCAGGACTCAGCCGGAGATTTATTTCTTTAACGTGGTGCACCAGTGTAACGCGATCGTACGACTCTTGGAGGAGCAATTCAACGACAGTGTACTGCCACTTGTTGTGTACGCATGTTCTTTTTATTCGTCTAATATGTCTTTTTTTTTTTTACAATAGCGATTACAAGCTGGTAATATTGAAACAATATCTTTCTCTCGTTTCAGTTCGACACCCAAACACGCCGATTGTTTGCTGAAGAAAAAAGCGGTGCTGGAGCAAATAGACGTCAAGCTGGACACCGGCTTGGACAGAAGCATAAACGCCATTGTCGGTTGGGTAAAGGTATATTTACAAAGCGAACAAAAGAAGACTGACTTCAAGCCGGAAACCGATGTGGACACCGTGAATACTCCAGCCTGTCTAGTGGTGGTGCAGTACGCGAGCGGGATGATACGGCTGATACGAAATACGCTGGACGGCAGGCATTTGGATACCGCACTCAAGGAACTGGGAATACGATTCCACAAGATTATCTACGATCACTTGCAGCAATTTCAGTTTAACTCCGCCGGCGCTATGTGCGCGATATGCGACATGAACGAGTATCGCAAATGCATCAAAGAGCTCGAGGTTGAATTTGTTACGAATCTCTTTGACACACTGCACGCCTTGTGCAACTTGCTGCTGGTCAAGCCGGAAAATCTGAAGCAAGTTTGCACGGGTGATCAACTGGTATGTTGTGTACAATGTATCGTATTCAAAAGGAAATATTTTCAGAAATGTGTATATATATAATTTTTTTTTTGCGATTGCAGATGACACTCGATCGTACCGTTCTACTTAATTTCATTCAATTAAGGACTGATTACAAAACACAGAAGTTAGCCAATTGTTTAAAAGGTATAACAACCTAATGACATACTCTGCTTAAATAAAAACGAAAATACTCCGTGCTCCAGCCTACTCCCTCAATGATTGAACTAGCTACCAAAATATACGGAAACAATCGCTAAAAGTAATATCATGATCACGTGATATTTAAATACAATTTTCGCTTTTAGGTTCGTTCTTTGTTATTTATGTTCGCAAATATATATATATTAGTACTCGCAGAAAATAGTACTCTTCAAAATAAATATAGTCTATTCGTTATTTTATTGACAAGTTGCGATAAATGACTGCGTTAGATTAGAGGTAACAAGATCATATAAAAATTTTAGTCAAATTAAAATTCTGGTCTTTTCGAACATTCCACAGCTGTTGATAAGATCGCATTAGAACGAAGTCCAATATTGTAAAAGAAAGTGACGAGGAGATGGAGAATTTTGGCGCACAATTATATATTTTATTGTACATCAGAGAGAGATATCAACTACAAGTAGTTCCTTTTTTTAATATTATGATATCGCCAAAACATTCATGTTTAACATTCAGACTTTTTGTTTTTACAGATTGGTAGACAAATTTGCTTTTAGTTGTGCGCGAAAATTCGCGTTTTTTTATTTTTATTACAATGCTCTGTAATTCGTTTGAATTTAGTATTATATAAATATAATTACTCAGAGATATTTGCACGTTTACAGAAGAAAATATCTATAAAAGTCGTTATATTAAACGTCTAATCGGAAAGCTTTCCACGCTTTTTAAAATCAAAGATCTAATATTTGGACAGCTCACAAACCATCGACAATACATGCTGTCTAAACGCGTCATTTTATAGTGTTCGATACTGTAGGAAATCCGACTTCAGGCTTGATTAAATGACTTTTTCTTATGAGTTACAAAAAAAAAGTGGAAAGAGGCGCGCAATCCACTGTGTATCAGCGCATACGGTAGTTGTTAGTCTCGTGTACTTGGCACAACTCCCCTTTAAAGTCCAACTCGATGCTGAAATCCAGATCTCTGTAATTCCTGGCGTTGGGCCTCATTGAGAATACGCCGTATATCTCCTCCCCCTTCTTCACCGTCATGTACTCGTCGAAATAAAAAACGGTCTGCTTCCAATGCGTGTATGGCACTTCCGGTGCGGTACTGAAGCCAATACGTTTGTGGCACTTGGTGAATTCGATGTTGAAGAACGTAACTAGGGCTTGGACATAATCGTTTCTCCGGACTTGAAGAGTGAACGGCGACGAGAACTCGAGATCGGCCTTCGTCACTGTGTAAAGATCAACTTCTTTAATTAGGCATGCATTTGTGACGACCTGCTTCGGATCGACGACATCCACGAGCGGTTCGCTGATGGCCACCTTCCTTATGCTGCTCATGTCGAATCCATACACGTCGTCCCACCAATTGATCTTCTCGTCCTTGTATTGTCTATCCTCGATCCCGCAGATGAACAGAGTAGCTTTATCGGGGAAGAGCATACCGTCCTCGCGGAGCCACTTGTCTCTCGCGAAGAGCACTGTGTCCAACATCGACTCGTAAAACAGACAGTAGCCCATCCATTCGGATATTATTATGTCGACCTTCTCTATACCGTCGGGTAATGAGACCTCCTCGACCTTCCCCTTAAGTATCGTTATGACGTTGGACAGGTTGTTCGCCTCCACTATCTTCTTCGCGTATTCAACGATATTGGAGCATTCGATACCGATGACCTTGGCTGCGCCGGCTTTAGCCGCGAACATGGAGAGGATACCCGTGCCACAGCCGATATCGAGGACCGTTTTCCCCTTGAAGAGATGCTTGTTATGATACATGGAGTTACGATAAGTCACGGTCCGTACTTCGTCCTTCAGCATTTCCTCGTGTATCCCATAGTGAGCGTAGGAATCAAAGTAGTAGTCTCTCGAGGTCATATCGTCAACGGACACGGATTCTCTGCAGGATGGTACGTTAACATTCTTATTCATAGTAGTAGGCTCCGCTGCTATGTCCATGGATTCCATTTCTGATGTCTGCAAATATTTATGGAAAGTGCGTTTAAGAGCCGATCGATTATTTCGAATAAAATTATTTGAACTTATATTTCACTTCTAATTTATCGTGTGCTTGTAAGTTTTAACTTTGTAAAAACTTTGTAAAAATTGCAGAGCGCGCAAATGAATCTTAAAATGCAATATTTTACCATCTCATCGAGATCGCATCGAGATAACAGAAAGAACTCCATTTCGTGACTAGGCATGTACACTGCGCCGCTCAATTTATCAATAACAACAAACGTTTAACTCTATATGTAAAAAAAAAAGAAGTAAATCATATAGAGACACAGGTATCAATTGCTCCACATATTTTATATATATATATATATATATACATACAGCACACACGCGTCATATAAAAACTATTGTTTATACATTATATTAATACAATTTAAGTGAATTATTACAATGCCGTTCATAAGTAGCGCAAGGTGTCGGGAATCCCTCAAAAAAAAAAACGAGCTCGCTCGCGCCGGGCCGCGATAAAATAAGTACACGTGCCCGCCAAAATAAATGGCGTCCCCTTCGGGAATCGAACGGCCAGTCGATGTCCCGCCCGCTGGGCGCTATATTCCGCTATACTGCTATATCGCTTCCGCCGTTCTATATAGAACGGTTCCGCCGGAGAGCCACGCCGAGTGAGGTCCTGCGTATCCGATAATCGCGATATCCGCCGGTCGTCGTCTCGTCCTCGTGGAGCCCGTCCTCGGATGTCCCGACGATTATAGCGCGATCCTGTCCCTCAGCCGTACTCGCGCCGCGTCGCGCCGCGCGACGAGCCTTTCGGGGAGTTCGGGGGGGTACCGCCGCCGCCGCCGCCGCCGCCGCCGCGCGAGACGCGAGAGGATCGTATCGCGACAAAGCCCCCACGTTCCCGGAGCTGTTTTCTACTCCCGATAACGCGCGTCTATTGTCCCCGGATTGTATCGGCGCGCCGACGGTGCCCCGTTAAAGTTCGAGCCCCCGCGTTACCTTACCGAATTAACCCACTCCATAAGACTCACCGAATTCTCCGTGTTACACACGCGACTCTGGTTGATTTCTACCGGCACTTCATCACTCGTCGCCATTTTGACTGCGTCACAGCAGACGACCGGATCATCCTCCAGGCCCGTCGCGGGAGGCGATTTTCCGGCCGCGGAGTCGCTGCTACTACACGCTGCAAATACGAATCTCGTTTTTCCTTCGAGAGCACTTCGTCCAACTTCTGTTCGTTTTACAGAAAAGAAATCAAGCCGCGAAAAAAGTTACTGCGAATATGTTAATTATGTGAACAATATTATCGTAGAAAAGATTGATAATCAAATGCATTAATTAGCCCGATTGTAGAATTTTATTTTTATGACAATGTCGCAGAAAAATCATCTATTCATGTAAATCTAAATTTCCTGCTGAAGAAAATTCTTATGATATTTCATATTTTTAAAAACTTTATATTTTAAAGTTATAAAGATTTCTGAAAAAAATACCTTACAACTTCTTCAAATTTTATTTATTCTTCTTCGGAAATTAATTGAGAAATTAATGAAAAGGCTTAGAAATCTTTCAGAATTCATATGTATAACAAGTTAATTCTAGATAAGATGTAAACTTGAGCACCCATCTTACCTCCTGCTCGGAGGTCTTTTCTGGATCAACCAATCGGAAAAGGCTGCGTTAAATTGGCCAATTGGCGACACTGAATTGGACAATCGGATGCCGCTCGATAAGTTATTTTCTAGAATCGATAGCGAATTACTTTTTAGAATCGGTAACAAGTAACGGCATAAGGATACGTTTTTATAAAGTAGTTTCACCTGCTTTGAATCTCGATGTCATCCAATACTGTATATGAATTTACGCTAAAATGCTGCTAAAGATACGGCGAAAGGTGGCGCTCCGTCAGCGCGCTCCAGTCAATCCGTCGTCCGCGATACGCTCCTGCCAATCCCCCCCTCCCCTCCGCCCCGTCGTTCGTCCCCCGCTGTGTGAAGGCGCACATCCGACGCGCCGTTTCGGTATCGAATCTCTCCGAGTGGCGTGCATTCGCGCTTTTCGCGCACGGCGGCGGTGCGGACGAGAGAGAGAGAGAGAGAGAGAGAAAAAAGGGTCGCCCGTTACTTCCGGGTGTGGTTCGGCTTCCGGCGACAATCCGCGGGTACGACGGTGTGTTGCACGGTACGCGTACGCGGACTGTGCTGCTGCTACACACGGGCGGGCGCATTACGTTTGTGGCGTTGCTCCGGACACGGTGTGTGCGCGCGTGTGTGTCTCGCCTCCTTTCGAACGTGACGACGTGCACACAACACAGAGACGGGTATCCCCGTCGCGTCATGACCCAATGAGAGGGGCCGCGCAGTCGGCTGGATAAGCGGTCTCGTCGTCCTGGAGATGGGCGGCTGGGAGCGGAGCAGCAGCAGCAGCAGGCTCGTCGTCGTCGTCCTCGTACGCATTTGTGCCGCGGAGCGCTACGGAGAGAGTGCCGTTTCCCCGCAGCGGGTCGGCCTGTGCCACAGTGCGTTCGCCGCTCTGACCTGCGATTTACCCTGCTGAACTCCCGGGAACGGAGCCAGGAAGCGCGCGTGGGGATGCGAGATCCAATGCGAGATACGCGTTGCGTTCTAATGTCACGCGAGTGATCCGTTTGCCGAGTTAACGTCGTTGGAGCCGTAGAAGATGCTGGTGAGTAAACAGGCGGGAGAGAGAGTCGTAGTACGTCGTGCGACGTAGAGAGAGAGAGAGAGAGAGAGAGAGAGAGAGAGAGAGGTGGGAGGGAGAGAGGGATAGAGAGCAACGGTGGCAGGCGACTGTGTGCGGTAGCAACAGCGGGTAGCCTCGCGTTTTTTCGTTCTATATATACGTGCGCGCGTTTACGGGGCCTGTCCTTTGTCCTCTCCCGTACTTTTTGTCAGATTCCGTTATGACATACCGCGTTAACGCGCGTTCGCGCTTCTTCCATCTCTCCCTCTCTGCCTCCCTACGTCTCCCTCCTCCTCCTCCTACTCGCGTGCGCCCACGCACGTACACATCTATACCTACATGCCGCCTTTACTCCTTCCATTCTCTCTTTTCCTTTTCGTCTCTTGGAGATAATCCCGGATACGAATCTTCTATCTGATGCAACGCATGCAGAAGACATTTTCGTCAGATCGGGAAACTTCTGTTTTCCCTCGTGGGAATCTCGGTGTAAACGGTTTGTAAACTTTTTAGACGCAAAAGGCCGCCCTACGCGAGACCACCGCGGCTACCAAAGTGTGTGCATCTTGTTGGTCGTTAGCTTCATTTTTTTCTTTTTCATTCGTAATATTTATATCTTTTGCAATTATTGTACTTGTATTCCCCGTCGCGCTCCACATTGCTCTCTATAATGCAAGCGTACATGAGTTAATTGGACCTGTTTTAATTATTAGGACATATGGTATACGTATTATCGTAATTTCGTTACTTTTTATGAAATAAAAATTAATCAATCTATATGAGCAGCTCTAAAATATAATTGCGCTAACTAACGGATATGTTGATGTTTAGTTGTATTTTGAGAATGTCTGATTTATTTCTCCCAGCTTCTATTTTTGTTCCATCTGAAGGTAGACATATATATTAAGATAAAACAAGTTTGTGTTTTCTTGTTTTTTTTTTTTTTTTTTAAGTGGACAAAATATTAAAGAATAATAATTTTTTAAGAGTATGTATTTATTATATACATTTATACATATATATAATATATATAATATGTGTATATAAAGGTTAAATAGGAGAAACAAAATAATAAATAGTAAAGAGAAATTTATTAACATTTATTAATCTGTGGCTAAATATTTGATATCTTCTTCTTTACTATTTATTATTTTAATATTTCTCCTGTTTAACCTTTATGTAATTTATTTTATTATTTTATATGAAAGATATATATATTTTATATAAAAAGATGTGTGTGTGCATTATATCTTGCCATTATTATTAAAGACAAAATCACTGATCCATAAGTGAAACATGAACTGTAGACTGTGATAATTATTAAAATGCATAGAACTTTATTCCAGAAGAAAAAATGATTACTTTATAAATGGCAACGTCTTCAAGTTAAAATTAAATATACTCGTGATGTAAATTAACACAAATTGATTAAAGAGGTTCAATTTACATAAGAACAATAATTATTTCTATGTATCTTTGATTACTCAATTTATATAGGTACTTGTTAAACTTGTGCTACAACTTCTAATGTGAAATTGTTAATATAACATCGACATGAAACATTATTACTTTATGTTAAATTTGTTGTTGCAGGGAGACGATCCACCGTCCCTACCGGTGGGCACGGAAGTCAGCGCGAAATATAAGGGTGCCTTCTGCGAAGCAAAAATCCGCAAGGTCGTGCGGTCGGTAAAATGCCGTGTAACGTATAAACCACAAGGTTTAGGAACCGCTACGGTTGCCGACGATCAAATAAGAGGGACTCTGAGAGTAGGCGCCTCCGTCGAAGTCAAACATGTGGATCGGAAGGAACTTGTGGAGGCTACGATTACGAAGATCCAAGACTGCAGTCAGTACACTGTGGTCTTCGACGATGGTGACATCACGACGTTGAGAAGAACCGCGCTCTGCCTGAAGAGCGGACGGCACTTTGCGGAGAGTGAAACATTGGATCAGCTTCCGTTGACTCATCCGGAGCACTTTGGGAATCCCGTAATTGGAGGTAGAAGGGGCAGACGATCAAGGCAAGCGCAGTAAGTGCTGTGGAGAGATCAGTTCTTGAAAGTTCTAACAGTTGTCTAACGGTAGCCGAATTTTTTTTTTTTTACGCAACAGGGATGAAAGCAGCGAAGATGAGGACAGTCCGCCACGTGGTGCACGTGACTCGAGTTCCAGCGGGGGTGCGAAGGAGGGAATGGAAACGGAACCAGAGATTGGTAGGGTGGTTTGCGTGGAGCTCGGTGATAAGAAGAAGAAGGATAATTGGTTTCCGGGACTAGTGGTTGCACCTACCGCTCAAGACACCGTGAGGATACGAGTGAGAGACGATTACTTGGTGCGCTCGTTCAAAGATGCCAGATAGTATGTGAAAAATTTTTATTATGAACTATTCATTCCTATTACATTGTCACATTCACATACAGGAGCATGCAGTGCTTTGTACTATATATATATATATATATAGACAAACAATGATATATTAACGGCGCAATTAACAGTCTAATTGAAAATAATTTAAATTCAATAATAATAAAATAAATACGTCATGCTTTTCTAATAAATTTTATTACTGCTATTAAATTAACTTGAAATATTATTAAATTACTGTGAATGTTCATTTTATTTCTAGTTATACAGTGCCCAAGAAGGAAGCCACAGAATTCACGAAAGAATTAGTCAATAAAGTTGAAAACAGTACTCTGAAGGTCGCAGTGGAGAAAGCGCTTCTATTTTTAGAGAAAAATGAATTACCGCCTCATTGGGACAGGGATTCCCTGTTTGGGCATTCTGTTTCTAGTGGGAATAGCGATTACGACGGCGAACTCGATTCAGATGTAAGATTTCTTTGCTTATTTATGCTCTTTTTCTTTTATGCACAACGGCTATGGAACATAACATAAAAATAGAATGTTTTTTTTTTTTAGAGTTCGGACGACGAACCGCGTGAAGAGAAAGATCATTTTGTGGCTCAATTGTATAAATTTATGGATGATCGCGGGACACCTATAAATGTTTGCCCGATGATTGGATCTGAAGATATAGACTTGTACCGGCTGTTCCGAGCGGTCTACAAATTGGGTGGCTATAATCGTGTCACAAATCAGAATCAATGGAAAGCCGTGACACGGCGACTTGGTTTTTCGATGCAAAATTCGGCGCCCTTGTACAACCTTGTGAAGCAGGCCTACAAGAAAGTCTTACACTCCTTCGAAGATTTTTATAGAAAATTAGGCTGCACCATGGTGAACCATCCGCGAGGTAGCACGCGTAAGCAACGCCCTGGAAGAAGTCTGATCCGCGACAAGGACAGAAATACGCCTATACCGCCGCCAGCGCCAGCACAAGTGAAAAGCGACAAGGATGAAGACGAGAAGAAGCCTGTGGAGGAGGAGAAGAAAGAGAAGAAGGAGGTTAAAAAGGAACAGGTGAAAGAGGAAGAAATTGTCAAGGTAAAAAAGAAGGAAGAGTCCGAGGGAAACGGTAGCGGCCAGGAGAGCGACGTGAACGTGGAAGGAGACGTCGAATCGTCGTCCAATAACGAAAAATCGCAAAAACCGACTACGCAGATTTCCGCGTCTCCCACTTTGTGTGCTACTACGACTGCATCGTCCAGCCGGACGAAGTCGAAGAGTAAAGAGGACACCAAGAAGAAGGTGACCGAGAAGAAGAAAACCGAACCTAAGAAGCAAGAGAAGAAGGATGAGAAGAACAAGGAGGAAGAAGCCACCAAGACGAGATCCAAGGCGAAGGATGACACCGTGAAAAATAAAGGTGCTTCCGAAGGAAGGGAAACGCGAACACCATCTAGAGAGGCGGACAACAAGAAAACGTTGTCGAAGCAGCGGCGTTTAACGGACGAGGAATTAAAGAAACGAGGAAGGAAGCGCAAAGAGTACGAGACGGAAAAGTCGCGCGGGGACGAACAGCTTACGGAGTCCGCCCCTACCTACAAGGGTCCCGTGGAGTGTGGTGACAAACTGAAGGTGTACTATGGCCCGACGCACGAATCCAAAGTCACTTACGAAGCGAAAGTCATCGAGATAGAGAAGGACGGCCCGGAGCCAATGTATCTTGTACACTACACAGGTTGGAACAACAGGTACGACGAGTGGATCAAAGCGTCTAGAATCGCTCAAAATATCACGCAAGCTCAAGGCAGAGTGAAGCGCATCAAGGCGACTCCCAGGCCTCAAACTCCCAGCGCGAATTCGTCCAACAAGTTGAAGGGCGCTTGCAACTCGAACGCTAACGCGTCGCAAAGTCGTCGCCGTGCGCAAAGCGTCGCTCCCACTTCCACGAGCTCCATGCAAGCCTCGACATCTACGAAGGACGCCAAGAAGGAGGAGAAGGACAAGGACGCGATACAGCCAACCAGATCCACCACACCGCTGTCTATCGCTAGTTCCAGCTCCAGAACCAAGAGTCCCGCCACACCCGCCAATAGGCCGACCAGAACAACGAGAAATGCAGACTTATCCGGGATGGAGCATCGTAGGCGCACCAGGAGAACCTCGGGACACACGGACATATCCGTCGCGTCGGAGAGCGAGGATAGCGAGGGTTACGAGTCCGATACCACCGAGCCTGAGCAAACCAAAACCAGATTGAGAGGTATGGAGGAGAGAAAACGGAAGGAGGCGCGAAGGGCGGAAGAGCGAATTAGGGCGGATGATGTGACAGTCAGTGACGCTGAGGACGATAAAGACATCTTGGACGAACCGCGTAAAGGCAGGCGTTTAAGAAGAACGCCCGGCAAGTCTCAGGGCATCAAATCCGAGCCCGATAGCGATCAGGAGGAACAACCGAAGGGTCGAGATTTCGATCTCAATCAAATACGATCTGAATTGAAAGGTTTCGACAAGGCCGTCAAGTTAGAGATGGTCAGATCAATGGAGCCTGATAACGAGGTCAAGCTCGAGAACGAGAAGGAGAACGTCGCCGTGACCGCGACGTCGCCCAAATTGGAGAAAACGATCGAATCTCCAAAGGTGGAGATTGTCGAGACGAAGGTGGAGAGCACGGAGGACATATACGAATTCAAAGAACCGGAACCGTTCGAGTTCGAGGTGAGAAATAAGAGGGACAACGGCGATAAGGATAAATTGAAGAAGCGAATGTTCGAGGACGAGGCGAAGAGTCCGAAGAAGAAGCAGAAAACGCCCGCTGCAGGATTGTTGGCGAAGGAGACGAAATTGGAGCCGCCGGAGAATGAGCCCCGGAAGAAGCCGAGGAAGCTGTTCAGCAAGAGGTCCGACGACGCGCATGAAGCGGCGGCGGCGGCGGCGGCGACGACTGCTTCCGGCAAGTCGTCGTCACAGAGCGCATCGTGCATGTCGTGCGAGGACGTTTTCAACAAACTCTGCGACACGTCCGTATCGTCGTTCAATCAGATGAAATCGATCGTCGCGGAAGAACCGAGCAACAAGACCGGCCTGAATCTCTTGTTCAACGATTTACCGGCGGACGACGAAGGTACGCGCGACGACTCCGAGGACCGTCTGATAATATCGGAGACCGAGGTGTCGGAGACGGAACAGGAGAGCGCGTATCAGCAGGAGACTCAGTTCCAGAGCGGCAAATCGCCGGACGCGGCGGAGTCGAGCAAGAACGAGGCCACGGTCGAAAGCGCGAGGGAAGAAGCGCCGATAATCAGTACGAGCAGTGGCAGTAAACCCATCCCGGAACAGAAGCAGAGCCAAGTCAAGCCGTTGCCGAGTCAAGTCGCGGCCGGACAGTCGCAGCCTGAATTGAAGATGTTGGATTCGAAGTCGTTGCTCGATATCGTTCCGGTACCATCGCCGATTGTGACACCGCCGGCACCCATAAGCGCGCGACTGCCGGCCACGTCTACGATAGAAGAAAAATTATCAGCCGCGATGGCGTACCGAAGTAAAGCTAAAGATAAGAAGATCTCGGACGAGGAGACCGATCTCCGCGCGATGAAGACAATGAAGGAGTCTAAAAAATTGGACGTTGCTTTTCTGCAAAGAGGCAAAGACGCGGACGTTACTCCCGCGACCGAGGTGGAGAAAAAACGCGAACAGGAAAAGCTCGCGAGCGAGGAGAGTATACGTAGAGATATGATGCGCGTGGCAGCGAGCGTTAAGCGAAAAGAAGAAGAACTATTGAAGTCGAAGAAAGAAGCGGAACTGAAGAAATTCTCGGAGGCGAAAGTGATCGCAGAACACAAGACCAAACTGCAGGACGCCGCGAAAGAGGAAAGTTGGAGGAACGTCGGATATGAGATGCCCGACAAAAAGTCCTCCGAGGAGGAATATAAAACGATGGATCAGAAGGAGAAGGACAGAATTGAGAGTCGCAAGAAGCAGATCAGTCAAGATATCGATTCCACGGATAGCAGTGATTCGGAGCAGCGGCTCGTGATAGACAACGAGGAGCCGCAGGACGTCAAAGCGCCGTCTGCCTTCGACGTGAAGCTGCAAGCGGAATTGGATCGCATGGAGAATACGCAGGAGAGATACGCGAGATCGCAGCTATTGAAAACCTCGCAGAGCGTCCAGCAGCAGGAGCAGGAGTGCGTGGAGTTCAAGACCGACGCGACACCCGCGCTGAAGACGGACGAGGAGGGCGAGACGATGAATTCGCTGTTATGCGAGGAGGAGATACCCGGCTCGCCGGCCCCGCTGTCCGAGAGCATCGAGCAAGCCAACGTCGGGCCCTCGTGCAGCCCGCCGAAGAGCGAAGCCACGGAAAATAGCATAGTGCTGATGGAGATGCCGTTCGCGAGCGCGCCGACCTCGGGCCAGAGCACGAGCAGCAGCACCGTTGCCACGCTCAGCATGGCACTGCCGAAGACCGTGGAGGCGTCGATGTCGGTTTCGCTGCCGGCGCAGCAGCAGAGCGTATCCTTGAACATGCGACAGTCGCAACAGCAGCAGCAGCAGCAGCATCACCAGCATCAGTACATGCCTCTGATGCCACAGCAGCGACGCGAGAGCAACGAAGCCGCGCCTGTGATGGACAATACGCCGCCGACGACACCCGACTCGAGCATTTCCAACATCTCGGGTTCGCCCAGGGAGGAGAGAACCGGCGGCTCGTCGCCGATCTCCGAGGACAATATCAAGCTGAATCGCGACAATTCCGAGGCGGACAACGACAGCGCCGGCAAAGGACCGGGCTTCAGCGAGGACGATGCCCTATCCCACCCCGAGAACAGCTCCGCGGACCGGATCCTCAAGCCACCCGCCAAACGCACAGTCGACGATATGCAGTCGCCCAAGAAACGCAAGAGAAACAGGAAGCACTCGGAGTGCGGCAGCGGCAGCGGCAGTGGCGTCAGTGTCAGCGTTGGAGTCGGAGTTGGCGTCGGCGTTGGCGTCGGCGTCGGCCTCGATGTCGGCGTCGGTGTCGGCGTCGACATTGGCGTTGGCATTGGCGTTGGTGTTGACGGCAGCAGTACTGGCAGCAGCGGTGGTAGCAGCGGCGTCGTCGTCGGCGGCGGCAGTGGCGTTGGCAGTGCCAGTGGCGGTGGCAATAGTAATGGCAATGACAGTGACAGTGGCAATAACAGTGTTAGTGTCGGCAACGGCGGCGGCGGCGCCGTGCCGAAGAAACCTGGCAGGCAGAACGGCAGGCAGCACGGTAGATACGGGGCCGGGAGCGACAGCGACGACACCAGCGAGGGATCCAATCTCTGCGGAGTTAACAACACGCCGACGAGTCACCACGCCGGCATCATCACCAACGTTCCCGATCTCAGCACCTACTCGTCGAGATTACCGAGACCGCTGAAGTATAATTTCTTCGTCGAATTTGGTACGTCGAGTGATATGTACTTTTTTCCGTTTGATCTCGCGTTTAATCTCAGTCTCACGTTAAGCATGGCACGAGGATCTTTGCTTCGTCCGATTGCTGCTTCTGAATCCTGAGCAAAAATATTTCCTGAAATATTACTATCCTAATCTGTATGCCGCTCTATTATATCTTTACAGATCCTGAATTGGACGGTAGTCAAAGGATAGCTGTACTGCAGCAAAAATTAACCGAGTTGCGTAAGACATACAACGCCGTGAAGGTCGAACTCGCTGCTATAGACAGACGTCGAAAGAAATTAAAAAGGCGAGAACGAGAAGGTAAAAATCTGAATTGATATTTTTTTCATGCACTTTGTCCAAACGATATTAACAATTCCAGTAATTTCACATGATATAATTTCATTTTTGCACCGCAATATATCATGTATCGCTCAATAATTATCATTTGCTAACGAACGTGGATTTTGTATAATTAAAAAAAAAAATTCAGTTTTATATCCGTCATTTATATCCGTCTCGTTGACATGGAAACTAACGTAAAAATGTTCCGTTACAGCGATGAAAGCAGCTAAAGCAGAAATGCAGCAGGCTTGTTCGTGATAGACAGCGTTGAAAGATTATTATTCTTTCGAGTACTAAATCAGATTTGTATAAGCATTATCGGCACGGGCATCATGCAATCACGCCAGACGTTTCATGACAATTTTGACTTGTGTAATATCGCTTAATGGTAATGTTCGCCCTGCAATTTTTCTTTATTAAATAAACTGTAGATATAGTCGCGTAAGATTTAGCGTATCAAGGATGCGTTTGTCTCAGAAAACGGCAAATTCATTCATAATATAATATATCTGTGTATATTATTCCGTTAATCTCCGTAGTCTAACGTTTTCCAGCGAAAGGCAGAGGTGACACAGTGTAATATAATGATTATATCGTTGCTTCACAATATTAAACAAAGATAAAATGATGCTGAACTGTGCTACGCAATGTGTCATTTGCGCCTTTTGCTGGAAAACGCCCTAAATGTTAAAAAAAAAATCTATTATCCTCATTTTGTCATTGCACATGTTCGGATGCAAAGTACAAACTATCAAAACTGATGATCTTCATTATACATTTCTCTTCGTCACTTTATTTTTTTTTTTTTTNTTTTTTTTTTTTTTTTTTCCTCTTATAAAATAGAAAGGCCGAGAGAGCGTTATCGATATATTACTGTAAAGACATCTTGGGGGAACAAGTAATTATCTAAGCTGGCTACATCGCTTTCTCTCTAAAAGTGAATCGGTGCAATAGTCTGATTTTCAGCGTATATCATTTTTCAACTGCATACGTAGAACTGTGATAAACAGTTGTGACTGTTTCAATGTTTCAGTGATAATATATACTCATTCAAACATTGAATATCACTGAAAGAAATTGAATTTCAGTTCTCAAAACTGTTTGACGGTGAAACTCACTGGTGATGATTCCTCTTCTGAGTCACCACGAACATGGTGACTTTTACTCAGAACATGGTGACCCCTCATATTTCTGCATGCGGTGTGCGCTGTTTACAATTATTCTCAGATACATACGGGACCTACAGTTTAACGCCGAACGGTCTTACCTATAATTAGAGGGGTGACGATTCCATTGATTCATTTTTAGAGAGTTCGTTTCACGATCATGGTGACCCCTCATCATATTTCTGCGATGAACGTTATTCACAATTATTCTCATATATTTATACGAGATAGTTTAACGTCGGTTCCGAACGGTCTTAACGGTCTTAATTAGAGGGGTGATGATTCCACTTCATTTTTAGAGATTTTCACAATGGTATGATTATATCACTTGCAGTTGAGCTGTTTTCACAAAATGTTGAGGAAAAGACAAGGCATAAGAATGATCACACAGTTACGTCAAACGCGTCTTTTATATTGTATCAAAAAATGTAAATAAATATTAAAGGCTAGCAAAATTTCGTAAAGTACTAGTGCACTGTATTGCGGGTGTGAACATACATAATACACACACGTATGTTTATACGTATAAAATGTTAGCGAGATAGTATTTGTATATTAATATGAATGTGAAATAAAGCGATTGCTAATTATCAGACAAAATTATTAGTCTATTTTAAGTTATGTATAATAACTTTAAATAAAAAAAAGATATTATACAAAAAGATATGATTTGTATAGGCCGCGATAGATTTGGTGCTACAAACTACTTGCTTGGAAGCGATTAGATTTCTCTGCTCCGATTGATCAATCGGTCGCTCTGAAGCGTTCATAGCGCTAATTGTAACTGAATTGCAGCTATTCGACACATGTAAATGAATACACCGTTTCGGCTAGAAAGGATACAAAGATGTAAGGCATATTATTTTCTATTTTTTTTCTCTTGCTCCTCATGATGTCGACTGTGTCGGCGATTTATCGTGAATGCAGCTCAACGACACTGTTAGCTTACTGATTTTCCACATTACATTTAGCTGCCGTTGTGCTTTATCATCATTGAATAATTATACTCATTAGTACCGTACGTATTGGAGACTTTGTCAGAGATGCATTTATATTTGTATTTCAACACACATGTCGAAGAGAGTGCTTCAAGTATGAGGAAATTAAACAAATGCAAAAAAAAAGATGGAACTTAATCGTAATTAAAAAACACGAAATGGCGAAGATGTGAATCAAACGTCTACTAGATGAAGATAAATTTGTATAAAAGATATTATAAAGTTAGCTTGAAAAAAAAATGAAGTTTTATAGATATACATTCTTAACGTGTATATACACACATCGTACTTGTGTGTGTGTGCGCGCGCGCTTATGTGTGTATATCTGTATAAAATATTTCATTCTTTTTTATACAGCTATATATATATATATATAAATAAATATACATATATTTTTTATAAAAGGGTCATATGAGCTCCATGGTGTGAGAAATGCAATTACGTTTGAGTTCGAGGAATACGTAGAAAATATTAGGTTTCCTTGACATATTGTACATAGTTTTACATTGCGTGTGTATGAAGATAAGTCAAATTTTAATAGTTTATCGCACATTGTGACATGGCTGCGCATTTTGAGGTGTAATGATTTCATAAATGTCACGAAATAGTGTATATTTATCTTGAGAAGGTCAGAGGATGCATTTCGACACGTACTTCTTGTTCTCAATAATTTGTACTATACGGGAATGTGAATATATTAAATAGTACAGTAATATTGTGCAATGTTTACTACGACCGCACTTAAATATCGTATATCGATATTTTATATATTTAATATTATTAATCAAAATTTATTCTTATATCATTAAAATACATTTAAATAATTTGAAGGGATTTTCGAAACAATAAAAGTAAGGATCCCGCAGTAATTAGATAGAATATTGAGTCCCGGTGAAATGAATTAATTTTCACACATGATGTAGCTTATAATGTGATGAGCAAAAGATGTCAAGTAGACAAGGTTCAATAATGGTATCATCTGCTCTTGATACTATCTGCGCGCACAATACATAAAATAGAAACATTAAAACAATCGTTTTTTATATCAATATTGTTTTCTTTCAAATTAATTGATAAATGATGAGATTGAATAAGACATTTCGAAGGATTTGTAGAACATATTAAGCTTTGCCAGTTGAGAACAAATTCTACATCTTTGATACACCGCAGCAAAAACTGAGTTTTTAGTTAACAAATTAGTTATTTGACGATCTGAAAATTATTAAGAAGGCGCACTCTCTATAACGCTTCAAGCTCTACTTCTGTTATTTAAGTTTGCATTATTGAGCCTTGTGTCTATGACACATTTTGTTAACATTTATATCATATGTAAAAACGATTTCACCGAGATTGCAATTATTTTTCAAATAAGTGCGAGGTCTTTTAATTTATGTTTTTATTTAGAAATAATTCTAATTTAAATATATTAAATGCAACCATTCGGTTATAATGTTGTTTACTTTCTAATCTATTTTATAACAAATTCTAATTAAAAAATTAATTTGTAACCAAGATTGTAAAAATTATAAATTAAGGAGAAATATCGTTGTAATATGAGATAATAATTAACAGATCTACTTATTATGTTATTAATTGGATAGCTCTATTTTATAAAATTTCAGTTTGACAATCGAAATTATTATCACTTGGAATGATGAACCCAGCATATGGCGATTTCAAACATTACACAAACTTTCACGTTACTACATACTCTTATTACGATAAACGGTTAAAGTGTAACAAATGCATCCTCGTCTGTTAAAAACAATTATCCTTCCTGTAAATCATATGACGTTACACGTGAAATAGTACATAATGATAAGCACAAGGCGAATTTGCGTCGCCAAGCGGTAAGATAACATTGTTTCACATAACATTTAACTGTGTCAGTGAATAAGAAATAAATCTTATCTTAACAAAAAACATCGTTTCTTTCTCGTATCATATTAGTTATTACTCCTGTATTTTTATTTACATAAATCCTGGATATATATATATATATATATATTGAAATCGGAGAAGGTCGAATGAAAATAGAAATAAACTTCGCAAATTATATTTAAAATCTGTTATACATATTATTTATTACATTGTAGCTCACAAATAAAGATGAACAGATAAGAATCTGTGTAAAACTTACGCAAACCTACTTGTTAATACAATATGATATATAATTATACAAATATTTATGTTATTGTACTTTGCACTTATCTGTACTAGATTAATAAGACGACAACTTTTTCGATTATAAATCGTGATTTAATTAACATAATGCACCATTAATGACAGACATACATAATACATAATATACAATATCTCTTTTATCACTTGTTCTGTGTATCAACGTAGAGCGATTAACAGAAAATTTTATTTGTGAAAATCAGTGACTAAAAAATATATATGACTTAATTATTTTCTTCATATGCAACATAAGTATAAATGTACCATATCTCTTAATTTTATATGTTCTAATTTTTTTTTCTTTATATAGCTAAGGAATTTCTACATTATACAATATGGTATCGCATAAAGATTGTTTTCCAAGAGTATAATATATATCTTTGTACATCAGTAGAATCGATACGTTGAGGATACAACAGTATCTCATTAAAGATAGTTGAAGAATCTTATAAAACATTTTTAGAGAAAAAAATTATTGTAAGATTCGTAAAATAATATATATATATGTGTGTGTGTGTGTGTGTGTATGTATGTGTGTGTGTGTGTGTGTGTGTGTGTGTGTGTGTGTGACTAAGAGATGTATTGGGTATCGAGTATCCACAGTAGCAAGATTATAAATAAAGGAACTGAAACAAACATACAAATATCTCGAAAGTAACAACTATAAAATTTAAATTTTGCAAACGAAGTTCAGTTAGACTTTGTCTCCTATATTTTATAATTTGTCATTTTTCTAACGTGATCAAAATTCAATTTAATCGTCTTAAATTGCACACTCATCTTCTTTCTCATCAGATTTTTATACAGACAATTAATAATTTTCTTTTTTGTTTTTACATAATGCAGATCCAAAATAACACTTCTTTTATCAAAAATTCATGATTGTATTTGTCTCACTACTTCACGGCTTCAGGTTCATATCCAGCTTTGTTATCATCACGATTCGGAATGCTTATATTCTTATTTTGAAAATTAAACATACATTTAATAACTGACAGGTAAAGTGAAATCATATGAGCTATGAAGTGAAGTCATATAAAGTGAAGTTAATGTGTTTTGATTATTATTTTTTTTGCCATGCTTAATAAGATATTGAGTAAACCTTAGAGATACATTCTACTGTACAAAATTCCTAAATATCGAGTTGACACAAGTAGAGATACTTTGGATACTGCCAGATATCTTATACATCCCTATAATGTGAATATATATATATATATATATATATATATATATACGTGTACGCGCGCCCGCGCGTGTAATATGTGTCTGTACACAAGTATGCATTTTTATTTCGATTATCTCAATTATTATTGCGCTTGCCCAGAACATTTAAAGTATTATTTTCTTGCAGAAATTAGCTTATTAATCGTAGACCAGCAGGAAAAAAATAACTCAATGGACCTCATGTAATTTTAAATTGACAAATTGACGCTACCTGTAGGCAATTTCCTTCACGTAACATTTACAAAACGTACAACATTTACGTAAAGAAGTGCGCTTTCGTTTCATTGAATTTCTCTTCGTATTTTCGACATTTTGTTCCCTTTAGAAGATAGTAGTGGACATTGGTATTGAAAAATTGTCAAGCTCTTAATACCGTCAAAGAATACTTGTCTGAAACGAGTAATGTAAAACATATATGTAACGTATGAAAGTGTCGTATTTATGTAGGAAATGTAATGTCACGCATTTATATTTCTTTTTACTTCACCCACTGTCCTTCTCTTCACACACACCGTAGTACGTTTTTCACTTACTGACTACCGGCTCAAAATGAAATGAAAAATTATATTCGGGAAATCATCCGAGCTTGGCGAATGGCGCATTGAGCGAGGGGATACGTTATATTTTCCATTGCACATGTCAACAGGGAGGCGGGCTGGATGTCGGAGCTGTGTCTACGGTCGCCGCGGACGAGGACGCCGCTACCGCGGCCGCCTTATTGTCGGTGTTCAATCTCCGCCTTGTGAACATGATTTGTTCCATTAACTCGTGATGCGCCTCTAATCGCTCGATGCAGTGTAAACACGCAGTCTTTGGCAGCGGGTCGTTCATGTTTACCTGCACGAATAAAAGCCACTTTACAGATGGATGCTTCCTTAAATATCTAAGTGCATATGGACGACAAGACGGTTGGTCAATCAAAATAATTTCTAAGCATAAAAAGGATGCGTTCTTACAAAATATGAGCCGATGCTCTATATTTGTGTAAAATACATCAGAAGGTAAAAATATGTGGAGTAAGTTTTAAAGAGACCACAGGGAATACCTATAATATGTTACGTTATATATGGACGTGCGAGGAATCGGCTCTTTTTTTTTTTCAGATAATTGCATCGCCCGCGGAATAGAGATCCGTGCGAGAGAGATCGATCAGGGTCTCGCACCGGGCGAAACGGTTGCCCAACGGTCCTGGTGCGTGGGTATAACGCGTGGATAATGTATAACGCGCGCGTGCACGGCACGCGCGGAATTACCGTGATCGGCAGGTAGGTGTTTATCTTCTCGGCGAGCTTCATTCTCTCGCCCTCCTCGCCGTAGATGTGGATCACGAAGCGGTTCATCTTGCTGCAGAGCCTGCATATGAACCCCGTGATCACGGCCTTGTCCGTGCTGCCCATCTCCGCGGCGTTGCTCGACGGCTGCTCCCGACGGCGACCCCGCAGCGCGTATCCCGCTGGCCCCCCCGATGCCGCCGCGTACGTTGACAGCGCGACTCCTCGCGTTCGGTAGTTACAGCGGGCGAGCGTGTCGGGGACCCGTGCACGCTTCTTCACCTGGAGATCTCCTGGAGTTTGTTTATTGCAGACTCCGCCGAACGCCAGCGCGCTCCGAGCGATGCCTCCGTACAGTGCCGTACGCGCCGTACGCCGACCCCGCGCGGGATCGCGGCCGCGGATCGTGTATGGTATATATACTTACTCTCGGCCATTCTCCAGCGTCAGATTATTATCTTTATTATCACGCCGTGTAACATTCCCGCAGTGTTCCTTTAATCGAACTTCCATAAAGAGAAGGGCGTAGCGTTTGAAAACGATCAACACATATATTTACTATGTTTATTTACTATCTTATTGTATCAGTTATTATTATTAAATTCTATTATTTATGCTCCCAATATTTCCGATCTCATTCGATCAGACTGTCTGTAAAAGAGTTGGGCATAAACTACAAAACTACTATAGGCTAAAAATACAAAAGACATTTAAATTAATTTAATCTGATGATTTTGCGATTATACATATTCTTCCTAACTTGGTCAGTTAATGGAACAATCGAAATTAATTCGTTGCTCCTAATCTAATATATCTCTCTTTCCATATGTATCAAAACAAAAAAATTAATTATATCTATGTTAATAAAGTATCACAGGTATGTGGACAGGTATATGGACAAATTAATCGCTGACGCGATTAATCGGAGTTTGCTAAAAAATCCTCTTCAATTGGATTCGCACAAAGTTGAATATTCCATAATTACTAGTATTGTAGATTGATAGGTATTATATATGTGTTTAGGGAAACGTCTGATGAGCAGTTGATCCTTATATACGTCCCTGATGATTCGCCATTGAAAGTTGATCGGAAAACAGTTCGAAAGGGATGTATGGGAAGGAATCAGCTGTCACACATCTGTCACAGTGACACACCTACGAACATGAAATTTTCTCATAATATCGTTTATTTCTAATTACTCTCTTTCTCTCTCTCACTCTCTATCTCTACTCCTCCCCCCCCTCCTCTCTCTCTCTCTCCCCTGTTCCTTCCCCTCCGCCTACAATCGTATCAGGGTTTTGTTTACGTATGTATAATACTTGAAAATATCAAAGATTGTTGCGCAAACGCATAGTTAAAATTCCACGTTGTTTTTTTCTTTCTCTCTAAATTATCACAGAGAGAATAAAAGATATATATATATATAGGCACGCGTTTTCTTTATACTCATCGCGTGACGTACTAATTAATTGTTATTGATAAATACATTCAACCTTTTATCTAACATTCTTATCCCCGATAAGATGGATGTATGGAAATAACGAAAGGAATAAGAGAATAATTGTAACATAAAAAAAAATCAAACATATTGTATACGTGTGTAATAATAGGTCAAAGATGAGAGACATGTATTATATTTTTGTATAAACATTCAATTTTTTCATATTTAAGAGTCGAAACATCCTCTACATAGGAGCCACCTCGACAATGAGCTTTTAAGGAGCGAGCAAATATTATATCGTCGAAACGGTGAGACACACGCGAAGAATATCTTAAACAATACAAGGAGAGAGAAGGAGAGGGGAGGAGAGGGGGGGGAGGGAGGGGGAGAGGAAAGAGAGGACAATAGTCTCGTTTTGGCCCGTGGCATTCTCCATACGCTCGCACCACACATCGTCGTTACGTTGCGTCGCGCACGTAACAGATCGCGCGCGCGACCGCTTCCGGGAAAGTGCAAATGGATTTTTAAATCGCGACGCGCACAAACCGCGATTCAACATGGTGGCGATCAGCTGTCTTCTGTCACGATGACGCGGAGAACGCGCTACGGGCAGGCGAATAAAAATTAATCGGCCCCGGGATCGGCGGGCGGCGGCGTGCACGCGGCGGGCGCACGGACGGGGGTGGTCGATCGGCTCCGAATTCAGTCCGGGCTGGATCAACGGGCGACGGTGGACGTGACACGTGTCGTCGTCGTCGTCGTCGGCGGTCGCGCATATATTCCCTCCGTCGTCGTGTAGCAGTAGCGGCCCCCTCGCCAGAGCGCTGACGAAGGCGACGCGAAGTGAGCGGCGAGTGTACGCACTTGAAAGCCAATATGGTGACCGTCGGGGGATAGTCGCCAGGCGCGCACACGGGGGATGTTTAATAATATTTATCGTTGTCGGCAGCGTGCGTCGGTGAGCGCCGAGTGATGAACTTGACGTGACCGAGAGCCTCTCGCTAGGCTGAAGCAACTCCGGGCACCATGTGCGATGTGTGCGTCGACTTTCACGATCTTCTGCTCTCCTGTAAGTGGAATTATTATTGCGCCCGCACACAGTAGCGCGTTCCCCTCTCCTCCCCCCGTGTGGAATTCTTAACCTCTATCTCGACGGGTCGAGCACCTCGCGCTCGGGATATCCGCCGACGAGGCCTCTCCACCTCGGACGGCGAGACGCCTCTCGACGGCGAGGCGTCCCCCCCCCCCGCGTGCGACGAGGGCGCGCGTCCTGGTTCCCTCGACCTCGAAAGGTCGTTCCTCGCGCGAGGAGCCCCGAGCGTGGCGGGGTAGCGTCTTATAACCTTAACCGTCGGCGATGGTCGGCGATGTCTTTTGTTCGGTGACCCGAGGCCGAGAGGGACTCCCGGACTCGGATCGCGCTCCGCCTCCACCAGCGTTTCCCTACGTCCCCGCATCACTTTTCTTCCCCTCCTCCGCCCTCCTCACGGAGATACAAATGATTGCCCCGTTACGATTTTCGACCGAACGTTAACGGCGATCCGCTTATGTATATACTTACTCCCTTGAATTGCGACGCGAGTTTTCGAACGAAGGCGGCACGTGTCTATTTCTATAATCGATGTAGATTAACTATTAGTCTCGATTTAACGTACTTTTTATCGTTTCTTTTTTAAATCTCTAAGAATTAGAAAAGGATAAGAGGCAGGAGAATCTAAGCAGGTTAATCCACGTGGAAATGGACACGAGTCGCAAGAATCGAATTGCACTGTTCGAGAATCTTCTGGAACTCACTGGATATTTTTACAATTGGTCCAGATTAGTCCCTCGAATATTCGCTTAGCGTGATTTTTTTTGTGCTGCGTGATACGAAAGATTGTTCGAGAAAGAGAAACGCGCTCTTGCGAATTGTATTTTAACTTTGTGTTTAAAATATATATCGATTTACTTTCTGGGCTCTAACACGTTATTTTTCTAGATGACGAGCGTTCGTCGAAGGAGCAAGATGCATTGGCGACATTGTACGTAACAGATGTCGACACGACGTTGCATTATGTTAACCAGTGGGTGCAGAGGTATATTAATCGACTTAACTTTAATACCTTTTTTTTTTGTATCTTTGCTTGTTAACCTTTTCGCGACGCTAAAGGCCATCGCACGTACAATTTTAGTCTTAATTACAAGGCCCTAAGCAAATTGACCAATCACAATCAAAATTGTGATCTTACGTTCTAGAATGTTCGACTGTGATTGGCATATGCTTATGACTTTACGATTGAAATTTTTGTACGTGATGACGGTCTTAAGCTAAATATATCGATTCGTTGCAAAAACAAGGAGAATAATTTAATATTAAGTCAATAAGAGAACAGTCTTGATGTAAAGATGTATGAGATAACTCTGTGGAAGCACTCTCTAAAAAAGAAACTAAAGAAAAACTGGTACTAGCTGCAAAATGCTGTTTGACTCTGATCACATTCTTGTTCGGATTCTTTCGCATTTACACATTACACAGTTCACATAAATTATTACATAAATTAATTTACCTAGAGTATTATAAACCGTTCAAGAAATTGTGAATTATTTCAACGAAAATTATTTTGAACGAGTTGTAACAAGAGTGATGACTACAGTGTTTTTAGAGCCAATATTTGTAATGAGTGTTTAACTTCTCGTAGCGAAAGGGTTAACTTTTACAATTACTTTCATACACATTATTATAAATATTCCTAATTGTGCAATGTTATATCGATTATTTCTTCTTTTTCAGACAATGTATGTGCTGTTATCGCGAAATTAAAAATTTTGATCGGTTTATAAGGCTAACTCAGAGCGTCGTGCTCTGTACGTTACAACAGTTGCAAAGTATACAGCAAAATGAACAGCAGGGAGATGTTGTCGCTAAGGAGACGCCTAAGGACGAGAAGGATGAGGAGGAGAAAAGTAATAAGCGAAAGTCCAGCGACAGCGCGGAGCAAGTGGAAATTCAGACGAAACAGATTTGGTCGCAGCATGATAAGGAAAGATTGTTTCATCTTCTGTCGAAAATTTTTTTACTCAACTTCCCTCTCTATATCGCTATGAAGCACGGCGGTGTAATCAACCCATTAGCTCCCATCAAGGTAAAGGTTTTTTTTTTGTGCAATTTATTATATCTGCCTTCTAGGTCGATATGACATTGATTATTGTATGACATTTATTTTAAAAACCGACAGGACGAAGGTGGTTACTGCGAGCCGCATGACCCCGAAGTACCGGCGCCTTTGATCCGCGCGGTATCTATATTTTGCCATCAAGGAGGCTTTAATTTGGTATCTGCTTGTTTCGATATGGAAAGCACACTGCCCGTTAGCCTTGCGCATTCTATGGTTGCGGTTATTTGTAATCTGAAGCTTTGGTTAAACTATGCCAGTGTCATTCAACTGTTTATACCATTCCGTAGTCGTGTTATGAAGTACATGTGTCGTTTGGAGGACAAGGAATTGCGTACTCCAGCTGTTAGGACTATGGCAGGTGTGTTTCTGAAATTAAAATCATATACGTGCGCTGTATTGTAGATTTGCGATTTGCAAATACACAAATCTCAATTCTTCGTTTCTATTTTAACACGCACACACCAAGTACTCAAGTGGTATTTTTTCTTGTTTAGATTTTATGTGGACCGCCGTGAAGGATCCGATAGACTCTGTACTACCAAGTTTCGATCGCGATGGGCTTGACTTGGCATTTAAATATTTTACTAGTACAACTCTGACTATGAGGCTGGCTGGAGTAGCTCAGATAAACGCTCACATTACCGCGTCTAATGAGGTCTGCAACAACGAGGCTGTCGCCGAGGTCGAACAAGTGGGACACGCGCTCGCCGCTTGGCTGACCGAAAACAACATCATAGCTCATATATTCGGACCAAACTTACACGTAGAGGTTATTAAACAGAGTCACATTATATTAAGCTTCTTGGCCATGGAAGGTAGAATTACATCTTCGGATATGGACACGATGTGGCAAGCGGCGCAGTTGAAGCACTGCGGTCGTCCGGTCTACGATCTGTTGGCGCCATTGGTCAAGCATTTAGCTCCCACTCCCGTACTCCACTTGTACTCTTTGCTAGGCAAATTGGAGCCTAAGGACCACACAGAGCAGAGCCTGTTCTTAGCATCGGCTTTAATCAAATTTATTTGGACGTCCGGTCGCTCGGCTTATCCACGAGGTTTGGTAATGAAGAACAGAGAAATTTTAAGGAGTACCGGAAGTGGAGTCGGTGGAAGTAGCAGCAGTGATCCAAGCGGAATGGATGGTAGCAGCCCGGAGGACGACGAAGAGGAGCCTAGTCCGACGTTATCAGACGGACCGTCACCTAGAAAGCAACCCAGAGGCTACAGCAGTGATGGCGAAGGTATATACGTAAACGTTGTGAACACGTTAAGTTTGTTAAATAAAATCTTGGTCTCTTTGTTTACATTTTGTTCGCACACTTGCAGGACATTACAAAGGAAAGGATCTGACAACGGCCACCATCGAATCAAGTCTCAATGATATCGAAGGCCTGAATTCCGACAAGTTTGATTGTAACAGAGAATTGACCAAGGACTCCTCGACGAACGTTATTCGAGACGACGTAAAGAGCAAGCAGAGCGGTTCTGACGCTGAGGCGGACACGGAGAAGTCTAATACGGAGGAAATGTTTATGCACGAGAAGAAAAAGCGAAAAATCCTGCGCAAGCGGAAGAGGCCGCAGAAGCGCTCTTTAAGCGCCGTTGAGAAAACGTTGGAGGATATCGTTGGTCAGGATGTTAATATGAAATCGAAGGATCTGCTCGCGGACGGGAAAAGCAGAACGGAGGATATGCTGAACAGTAGTCTGGACGCTTTGGCCTCCTTGGACGAGTCAAAGAGCGTCGACGCGTTGGATCGAGTTAAACAGCAGGCGATGGCTTTAGATCCGAACGAACAGCAAGTTCCAACCACGGCGGCTCTGTTGAGACGTAAAAATAAATATATGTCTATAGTAGGATATAACGTGGATCGAACGGCCGATTCTGCCGACAGTTCGCACGACGAGGATGACAGCGACGTAGCGGGTGTGCTTGCCGCCGCGGACGGCCCCGGCGCGGTGATATCTGAGCTTGCCGGTTTGGTGCACGCGTCCGGCCCTACGTTTCTACCCTCGGGATTGGACGAGATGCTCTCCGACGAAGAGGGCTCGTACAGCAGTAGAATATCGAACAAAAGTGAGAAAAACATGGCCGACTTCGACGGCGAGGAGAGCGGTTGCGAAGAGGAACTGGCTCAATTAGCCGCGCGCCACTTGAATGCCATCCAAATGCAAGCTTATCACCCCCATCACTCGCACTCGACAATGACGATTCGAAGATCGGTCTGTCAGCAATCGCAAGTACGAACCGCACGACAAACGGCCACGAGATTGAGCTCGCAGTTTAACCTGGACACAGTTTGCAAGCCGGGCAACACGCTGCTGTGGGATCTGCTTCAAGATGATAAGATAGGCCAGCTAGGAGAAGGCCTAGCCTTGGAAGCGGAGAAAGCGCTGTGCAATCTTCTCTGCTTCAACGTCGATCGCTTGATCCCGATGAAATTCATAGAAGGCTGCTTAGAAAACTTGGCGACCAATCGTTCCGTAGTTATATCCCTAAGACTATTGCCGAAATTGCTCGCGAGTTTCCAACAATTCGGTGCGATGGACGCGCACACGATTACGACCTGGGCTGATCGTGAGCGTGGCATGATGAAGCATTTCTTCAACAATCTGAAAACTTACACCAGTACAGGACCGAAGAGCAATTTGTATTCGCATCAAACCGAGATACAAGTCAGATTGCAATTTCTAACATCGATCTTCTCGCCGCTCGGCTCACCCGATTGTTTTCGCTTGAATCTGGAGCAAGTGGATATACTGTGGCAATGTCTGTCGCAGGATCCCGTCTGCGCGGACGAGCTCTTCAGTTGGTTGCTCAGCCAAGCGAAATCTACGGAGCAGCACGCTTTAGGTATGGACACGCTGAAACACCTGTGCATGCGCAAGTTACCGAGTCTCCCGCCGGAAACCATCAGTATGATAGGCCTGAATTTGTTTCAACAATTGTGCAACCTGGCGCGCCTGGCCGCGGCGCACATGGACAGACCGCTCAGGGATATAGATTCGGTGGGCATGGACTTCCTGTGGCGGATCGCCCTGAAAGCGAAAAGCACGGACGTCAGTATGGCAGCTATACAATACCTCAACGGCTACTACATGTCGCGACAGTTGACACAGGAGGCGGAATTCGTGTCGCAGTGTATGACGCATCTCGCGGCGGCCAGCGCCGATCTCGAGACGAATGAGGAGGCCAGTCTACGCTGCATACAACGCGCTTTGCTTCTGCTGAGGACGCACTTGGAAGCCTTTCGGAAACGCTACGCTTATCACTTGCGCCGCTGGGTGTTGGAGGGCAGAGGCGCCGCCAGCCACGTGGCCATGAACACGTCCGAGAAAGGCCAGCAATTGAGAATCTTCGTGCAGCCTGCTGGTATACCGGAGAAGACGAGTTTCACGCTTCTTAACACCGACTACGTGGCGGATTTGCGGGCCGAAGTAGCTAAATGGTGGGACGACACGCAGAACACTCAGGAGAAATCAGCGGTTTCCGCGAATGCCGCGCAAAACGGTGGATCGGTTTTGGGCTCGTTGCTCACCGACGGTCCTATCAGAATGATTACTCAAGGACAGGAACTGACCATCGAATTTGACGAGAAAACCTTGCAAGAGATGGGCTTCAAAGATGGACAGTTAGTATTCATTTCACCCGGCGCCAGCAGAGGCAATGGCGGCCGTTGTAGCAAAAGAGACATGGATTCGCCCTCGTTGTTACCGCCCCCGCCTAGAGAATCCTTGCCGACTTTATTGTTACTTCGACCGCAGTACTTCGAACAGCTGTTCACGCTTATGAGAACGCTCAGCGCCATGAGAACGACCGTGAAGGGAGGCCAGGAAATTCCTCACACGAAGGCGCAGGTGCTCTCGAGAAGAGTCTGGGACACGCTCACCCTATTGCCGACAAGTCCGACTTTGCTACGAGGCTTCCAGAAACTCGGCGAGACTTCTCTTCAGGAATTACTCGACCCGGCGAGTCCGCAGAAGTTGATGTATTCGCTTTACATCGTCGAGTCCCTGAGTCGGCGAGGCGCGACGAATCAATCGTCGCCGAACAGTCCCACCGTATCGACGACGGCGCACGAGGGCGGTGGCGACGCGGACGACAATCACGACGATAAGGAAAGGGATGTGGCTTGGTCCACCTTGTTCGTGCAGTACGGCGGTCTCCGGCATCTCTTCGATATCTTTATGTCGGGTTGCCTGGAGCAGGGAGACGGCAGCGAGTGGCAGCAGGATTGCCTCGCCAGTTTGTTGAAGCAACTTTGTCATCTCGGTGTCGTAAGAGAAGAGAAAAAGCGTAACAAAGCAGACAAGCCACTGCTGGTGCCGAAGCTCAGCGAAGCGATGTTGAGAATGATGAACGTCGACACGGTGATGCCGAGGATAACGAGCATCCTGAACGACGCTTCGTTACCGCTCGATCCTAATCACTACAAGACGGGACTCTTTGGCCGATCCCAAGTGATACATTATGCGATGGCGTTGCTGGTTTGTTGGGTGCACAGCGATCCGGCAGTCAGACAATATCTATTTTCGTCGTCCGAGCCCTTCGGAAAAACGTGGCTGCGCAGGCTGATATTGGAAGATCCCGAGCCGGCAGTGAGACGCGAGGTATGCACGGCTCTGTACAGGCTCTGCTTGGGCAGCACTGGCGCGGAGGACGACAGCTCGGATCAGATGCCAGGATTGATCGTACCCATGTTAAACACTCTGCTGGAGCATCTCGTGATCGCCGAAGCTATGCAGCCTTCTCATCGCAAGCCAGACCTTCCGCTGCACCTGCATACCGTTTTGGACGAAGGAAAGGAACCCTACGGGCCAGCTTGCAAGGACTATTTTTGGCTGGTATGTCGTCTGGTGGATTCCCTTCCGGACGAGGCAATTCGAGAAAGCTCGGCGGACGACACCTCCGGCACGACGGTCGATCTCGAGGCGCTGGCCATCCGGGTGATCGATTCCGTGCTTAACAGAGAGCATCTGGAGACGCGACACAACACGGTGGAGGACGACGCTCTGGTCGGACTGATCAATCTCACGTGTAACATAATGACGCACAATCCACCCTGCAAGCAAGGTAAAATCGGTCAGAATTTATTGGACCAAGTGTTCGATTTCCTGTTCGCCTTGCCCAGCCCACGAAGCAAGCACGTGCCCAAGTGTAAGAGCCAGGCGTCCAGATCGGCGGCTTTCGATCTCTTGGTCGAGCTGGTGAAATCCGCGCCCGACAATTATAGGATGCTGCACGAGAAGCTGCTTGCCCAGCACCGTCCCGGACCGCATTCCCCGTATCCGTGGGATTACTGGCCTCACGAGGACGGACGTTCGGATTGCGGCTACGTGGGCCTGACGAATCTGGGCGCGACGTGCTACATGGCTAGTTGCATGCAACATCTGTACATGATGCCGCAGGCGCGCGTTTCAATTCTAGGCGCCGATTGCAGTCGCGCGAATAAGCACCAGTTGACGTTGCGGGAGTTGCAGAGAATGTTCGCTTACCTGTTGGAGTCCGAGAGAAAAGCGTATAATCCAAGAAGCTTCTGTCGCGTGTACACGATGAACCACGAGCCGCTCAACACCGGCGAGCAGAAGGACATGGCCGAGTTTTTCATCGATTTAGTCTCCAAGCTGGAGGAAATGACGTCCGACCTAAAGAATCTGGTCAAGACGCTGTTCTGTGGCGTGATATCCAACAACGTCGTCTCGCTCGATTGCGAGCACGTCAGCAGGACATTGGAGGAGTTCTATACCGTCCGATGCCAGGTGGCGGACATGCGGAATCTTTACGAGAGCCTGGACGAGGTCACGGTCAAGGATACGCTGGAGGGCGACAACATGTACACGTGCTCGCAGTGCGGCAAGAAGGCGCGGGCCGAGAAGCGCGCCTGCTTCAAGAAGCTGCCGCATATATTGTGCTTCAACACGATGCGCTACACCTTCAACATGGGCACGATGCTGAAGGAGAAGGTCAACACGCACTTCAGCTTCCCGCTCAGGCTGGATATGTCCGGTTACGTTGAGAAGAAGCTCATGCCGCAGCACTATCAGGACGAGAAGAAGGCGGCGTCCGAGAAGAGAAAGTCCGAGAACGACGGGCACTCCAAGTCGGCGGACGATGCGGAGAAGGAAGAGGAGGATGTGGAGCATTATCAGTACGATCTGATTGGCGTGACCGTTCACACGGGAACGGCGGACGGCGGGCACTATTACAGCTTCATCCGCGATCGCACGTCGCCCAACAAGGACAAGTGGTTTTTGTTCAACGACGCCGAAGTCAAGCCTTTCGACCCGAATCAGATCGCGGCCGAATGTTTCGGCGGCGAGATGACCAGCAAGACGTACGATTCGGTGACGGACAAGTTTATGGATTTCAGCTTTGAGAAGACTAACTCGGCGTACATGTTGTTCTACGAGTGGTGCGCCGATCCCGGCGAGCAGGCGAAGGAGGAGGAGGCGACCGTCTCGAGTCCAGCTGCCGACAATATCGACGGCAGTACCGGGCGGTCCTCGTCGTCCTCGTTGGTTCGCAACAATGCGAACAAATTACCGCCGCTGGAGCTCAACAAGGAACTGGAAGATTGGATCTGGCAGGATAACATGCACTTTCTGCAGGATAAGAATATATTTGAGCACACGTACTTCGGATTCATGTGGCAGGTGTGCGGCTACATACCGCAAACGTTACTCTCCGTGCAGCCGGACATCACGGAGATGTCCGCGGAGTTGTCCACATCCTTCTTTATGGAGACGTTCATACACGCCAAGGAGAAGCCGACGATGGTGCAGTGGGTGGAACTGCTGACGAAACAGTTCAACGGCTCGGCCGGCGCGTGTGCGAGATTCCTCGAGCGGATGGCCGGCGACTCGTGGTGGCCTATTCAGATTCTAGTCAAGTGCCCTAATCAGATGGTCAGGCAGATGTTTCAACGGTTATGCATTCACGTGATTCAACGATTGCGCGCTACGCAAGCACCCCTGTACCTTCTCTGCGACGAGAACGACACCGTCAACACCGTCGGCACTCGATCCTGCGTCACGCGTTTCGTCAGGATGCTACTGTCGCTCATGGAACACGCCAAGCAGCACCTCAAACATCTCACCGAGTACTTCAGTTTCTTGTACGAGTTCAGCAAGATGGGCGACGACGAGGCTGTTTTCCTAATCAGAGTGCAGGCCATCTCCACGATGGTGAACTTTTATCTCGGGCACAAGACGCACGAGTTCGTCGACGCGGTTAGCGAGGAGGAAGAGGAGGAGGAGATCGTGACCGTGCCTTCGGAGAAACTCCGGCCTGCCTCGCTGGACAAGATGATCACGCTGATAGCGTATCTGGTCGAGCGCAGCAGGGGGCAAGATCACAGATTGGCGCTCTCGCCGTCGGATCTGAGTGCCGTGGCGGGCGGCAAGGGCTTTCCGTTTCTGTATCAGCAGACGCGGGATGTCATAAATCTGACTCAAACGAGAAATTTGATTCAGTCGTTGTGCCGTTGGAACGACAGATTGGCGATACACGTAGTAACTATGATATTCCAGGCGATAATGAAGCACACCGACGTGTGCCAGCCGTTCTTCAAGCTGTTAACGCTACTGACAGAGAGCTCGGGGTTGAGCGGACTGCCCTGCATGACCCAATTGATCCTCGGTAGGGTCTGGGAAGCGGCGAGAGTCGCCCCGCACGGTGCGCTCGAGTGGCTAGCTCTCGCAGTCACCAGAAGTAAACTGGCGCACGCCTGGGTGCTGCAAGAGCTCAACACGTGGCTGCAGCACTACCTTCTCGAGCACTCCAATCAAAGAGTTCGCTCGGCCGCCGCCTTTCTGTTGGTATCACTAGTCCCGTCTACGCATTTCAGACAGGGCTACCGCAGCGCGCATCGCCTCGGTCTAGGCTGCAACGCGTCCCGGGAACTTCAGCTGTCGCCGGAAGCTACTCTGATATTGCATCAGATATATACGGCACTTTTGAGACTGCTTCAGCCTGCACGACATTACATCGACATACAAACTCACGGTACAATGAAGCTCACTGCCTACTTTGCATTGCTCACATACTGCGTAGTCTCTAAGACCGAAAAACTAATGGTGAGTAAATTCGATACGCATACACACACACACAACACACATATACAGACAGCCTTTTATAGCTTTCAGCAGGAGAGATCGACAAATTCTAACGTATGTATACTTTTGCAGTTCGGCCAGTATCTTAATGATCTATGGACGCTTTTCCATCCGAAGCTCTCGGAACCAAGCATTCCGGTGCATCATAATAAGCAAGCGGTACTTTTGTTCTGGTATCACGTATGCTCCGATTGTCCAGAGAACGTCGCCATGATACTTCACAATCCGCACATAACTAAAAATATAGCATTTAATTACATACTGTGAGCGTTACATTCTTGTCTTTCCTCTGCGCTCTTTGCATTTGTTCGCATATCACGCATCAGTTTTGCATCAATTTTAGAAATTACATAATTTTTTATCTTATAATAATAATAATATTTATTATATTAATTATATTATAATAATATTAATTGTGACAGCGATACGAGATATATTATCTGGTCTGCACATTATCCCTAAAGATTGTAGTCGAATGCAAAGAGTTAATATTATCCGATGTAAAAATGCTTGATGTGTTTCTAACGCATATTTTCTTATTGATTTCAGAGCTGATCACGAAGATCAAGATGTCGTGTTGTTTAATAGAGTTATGTTACCCGCCTATTATGGTCTCTTGAGACTGTGTTGTCAGCAATCGCGTACTTTTACAAGACAATTGGCCGCACATCAGAATATTCAATGGGCTTTTAAGAACATCACTCCCCATCCTACTCAGTATTCAACCGTAAGTTTTTTGTAAATTTTAAGTCTTGCATAAGAGATGGGCATTATTCGTGCATAGATTCTGATTTATTAATGAGATAAAACTTTTTACTCCGCTTTAAATTAATTTTTTTCTCTCTCTTTACAGGCAGTGGATGAATTATTTAAATTGATGCAATTGCTGGTCGCGAGGCATCCTGATCAAACGGAACAGGAAGAGGCAGAGATCGCGTCATTCAGAAGAGGCACGCTATCCTCTTATCTGCAAGGACTCGATGGTCGTTCGTGTTGGGCAACTCTCATTTCTGCTTTTCGGTAAAATATCAATGACTATTTTAATTACAGAAAAATTAAAAGATATAAATGGTACATTTATAAATATACTCTAGAAACATGATTCATTTAATGCTATATAATATTAAAAATCGGAAAATCTGAAGTAACAATATTTTTTTTCCAGAATTCTCATCGAATCTGACGACGATCGTTTGTATGTTGTATATAATGGCGGCTTAAGCATGGCTCTCGAGGCGTTTCATATGCTACATATCATGTATCACGAAGCGACGGCGTGCCACGTAGCCGGCGATCTGGCCGAGTTGATTGCCATTATCGTCGAACTCGTGCGATGCGTTCGTACCGCGAGGGACGGGCCGGACGCTAGAAACATTCTTGCTAACTGCAAGGAGTGGCCCGACGTTCTGCGTAAACTGGCGACGCTACTCAACACGTATAACCCGCCGGACATGAGGAATCTGGCCATAGACCTTTTGAAAGAGCTCGTCATGCTCGTTCCTTCCGAAGCAATACTGATACTAGCGCCGTTGCTCTCACACTGCCACGCAGCTCTTCAGGAGTCTCATGCCGCTGTCCCGCCCGGGCCGTACCTGCCGAGAAGATCTACTCCGCCCGGGAAGATGCCTACGAGACCCGCCAGGCCGATGGTACAAATGGCGGTACCTCACTCTCAGCTGGAGGCGTCGAAAGGGGTAGATCCGGAGTACGACAGCGCTCTGCTTGAGTTTTATTTACCTTACCACGAGCTGATAGACGTAATGTGCAGATTAGCGATTAATAACGATTGCATGACAGATACGTTAGTGAATTTGAGCGCTATGCTTGGATTCGAAGGTGAGTACGATACGGCGAGATGATACGCGCGCGCGAGTGATCGCGATCCTGGGTTGAATTCTGATTTATTTTTGCGCTTGCAGGTGTACCTTTGCACTTGGCCCTGTTTCCCAGGCTGTGGTTAGACGTGCACGCCGCTACGCACATAGACAGAAAGCACATCGCGTCTCTCCTTTGTTCTTCCTACACGGTGGATTACGTGGACGCTGTGCTGCTTGATGAAAGATCGTCGTTGGGAGTACCCGCGATACACGCCTTCCTCAAAACCTTCTTTCCGAAGCTGGCCAATCACGTGTTGACCGAGCAGACGTGCTTGCTCATCGACAATCTGGTCAGCTCGCTGACGACGATGGTCGAGGCAGTGGACGTCGAGACGTCGGCGCATAGACTGACCGGGAACCTGCGCGCCCTCGCTCTCGTTTACAGCAGTAGCACGAGACTGAAACCGCCCTCCAGCCTGCTGCCGGCCCTGGAGACCCTGCTGTCGCGTACTCGGACTATCACAGTGAAGGAGAATTGTTCGTCGCCGGAGATGGAAACGCCCACCAAGAGGCGGAAGCTGTGCAGCGACAGCGAGCCGGCCGACCGGGATCTGTGCGCGCCGATCAAGGACATCGACACGGAGAACAACATCTCCGAGGCGGAGATGGACAAGGCGGACGCAGCAAACGATACAATGTCTTCCGATTCCGGGGACGACAAGGTCGCCGCCACCGCCAGGCACAAGTCCGGCAGCGTTCAGGCGGAGGCCATCGCCACTGGCATCAGCGACGCCGTGTCGCCGCCGAGTTTGGTTACCACCGCCAATAGTTGTACAAATCAGTTGCGCTGCTCGTTGACCAACGTCTCGTGGCTCGAGATGCTGGAGAAGACCATCGTCGAACTTCAAACGATCGTGCAAGTGCAAAGCAAGAACAATTAGTATGTCGCGTGAATGTGATGATCGGTGGGGACGCAGGCGGGACTGCTCTCTAGACGGCGTAACGTACGGAACTAACGACCAATTCTTACGACCTGCAAAAACTGCATGTGATCCTTTATGCCGATATAGAATTTAAAACGGTGTGTCTTCTGCGCTCCTTCGAAAATCGGATATAACTTAGTACATATTGTATCGTATGTATATGTATCTCGAAGCCGCGATTTACTTTCCAAATATAGGAGATATAAGATATTTTCGTTACTCGACATAAGTTACATTCGAATATGAAGTCGGGGAGTCGCGTATCGCCGTCGTATATATATATATATATATCTGGGACTGAATGATTTTTCTCATCTTTAAAACGTTCGTTAGTGCTGTGAGATAGAATTACTCGTCTCTCGTGGCAGGAGCACGTGGATGCGCGCACTTCAACGTGCAATAAAACGTCGTTAAAAAAACCATCCAGTATTCAGAAAGCGTTAATGTGTGTGGTTTCATTAAATCTCGTAGGATACTTTAAAAAAGAAAACACGCTATATCTCTCAGAAAAGTTGCTATGTTGACACCCCCTGATAATTTCAACGATTTCGCGCTATACTTGTGTACGAAAGGAATCACAGGGTTTTAAGAAATTATTGAAGTAAACATGTAAGAGAAGTACGTTCGATGACTGATCAAAAAAAAACTTTTTTTTTTATATACTCGTTGCTAGTACGCTCGATTTTTTGTTCATTTTAACGTATGTACGATGAGGATATATATCGCGGTAAAAATTCAGTTAAAAAAAAAATATCGATTTTAGACGAGAATAGACAGTTATCTCTTGACAATTGCATTATATCGAAATTTTTATTCTAAACATTATTTTCTACGGCTGATATTTCACAAGATATCAAGCCATTATATTTTACATATTTCATTCTATATATCTATTATTGTTCTTTGTCCTATACTCTAACCAATTCGAGGGAAAGTCTCTTAATTCCACGTTTGTCAATCTTCCGAGCCGTTTCACATTCGCATACAAATATTTCCGTTTATGCGCGATCGATCGTAGGAAAGAGAAGTAAAAAAAAAACGAGAGAGTTTATTAATACATATGGATGATTATTTACATAATTAGTTTGAACTTAAATGCAGAACTTAATCTATACCGAAGAGTTCTATAATTCGTACGGAGCATTAGGGATCTAAGTTCTTAGGCGAATCGTAGGATTGTAATGGAGTTTGCTAGCGTATTTATTTATTTTCTCAGTACGGCGTGCGCCTCGGTGATAGCCGTGCGTCGTTCTCTCATTTCGCTCTCGCTGTTCTCGCGCCGCTTTACTTATGCTAAGCTAAAAAAATCGTCGCAGACGCTCGTTTACAACTTTTATACAGCCACTGTGGCCGCGGCTTTCTCGAAATCAAAGACATCTCACATCACGAATGAACAGCTCACTCGTGAAACTTCCAATAAGTGCTAAAGCATTCAAAGCTGACATATCTATCTACCGGTACACTGCGGTCATTCTCAGCACAAGCGCGTTTTCATAATCGTCGAGCTTACCGGTTTTTAAATGGCACTAAGACAGCACCTCGTTCAATCGTGGCTCCTGACTCTCTCTTTGCCGCACTTATCGGATATTGTGACGGCAAAGGCGAGAAATTGCGTCAATCGCAATCGTTCGATCGTTATATTTTTTTACAAAACTACTGATCTGCGTGACCCACAATTGTGTAAACGCGACCGTTTACATAAATCTATATAAATATAAATTATATAAATAATTTATACTTATATAAATCGCTTTTATCGTTCCTCTAAAAGACAATTACAAAGAGCATTTTTCACATTTCTCTTGAATTTCTTACTCATGTATTTCTTTATATAATTATTATGTAAAGTCTTGGAAAGAAAAAAAAAACGTAAAAATCAGATAATTCTGAATTAGATATGCTATACGTCAACGTAAATTAACTCTGTTGTTTTTCTTTCCGCTTATCATAATTAATTCATGAAATGGTTCTACGATAGAGTCCAGCGCATGAATTGTAAAAATCTAGTAGAATTCTCGTTTGACGAATTCTGCTCGATTTCTACCGCATATTCGCAAGCTGTCAGGGTACAAACCACTTCATTTACTACCGAATGGTGATTAACCAATTCGGATTTGGTATTGTTTGACGCCACCGAACGGAACGGGAAAAGTTAATTGATCAATTGTAGGAAAAAGATTGACGTAATTTCTTGCTTGTGACGTTACGATCGCCGTAATACCATATATGCAATACGGCTGTAGCTGTATCAGAATCAGGAATTTGACAAAAGCTCACGAAGAAGTATGTGGATACAGGAGACGCTGATTATGTGTTCGACCCGGCGTTATCAAGGCGGGGTACGACAAAAGATACTATAAACATAGCGTTATTTTCGCAGTTACTCTCTGTCTATCGTTGTAATGTATAAAATTTTAATTGAATCGTGTCACAGATTAAACAATAAAAATTGATTTGATAATGAAAAATTTTACGTTATTACGACTTGAGCTCTTAGATCGGCTGGAATTTAATGAATTCCATCTCAGCAATTACTCCGTGGGTACGTGTTTTTTTTTTTTCACCTCGGTAACGCCGGCGGATCGACGGAAAAACTTTTTCCCGCGTTAAAGCTCTCGTTCACTTAGATGTTTCCATAAGCGACTCTGCATGCCGCTCAGATCCAAGGACACGGACGCACGACGATCGTTAGGCAAAAAAAAAAAACGCTTACTCGCTTTGACGCATTGTATAATAACTATCTTAAATGTCGCTACATTTCGATGTACTTGTAACGAAAATGAAGGAGGAATGGAAGGAATGTTGGCTCTCTTTCTCTTGCACACGCTCTCTCACTGTCCGTCTCCGCCACTCCTCCAGGCGATGCGATCACTTTTTATCATATATATTCGACAATCGATCTAAATGTATCACATGTACGTGAAACCGTACGTGATGAGCTTTCAGTCATGGCACGATTGTGTAATAAAATATCATTTATTCTCTCTTAGTTACGCTCTTGTACGTTTCCTCTGCGTTTAAGAAGGCGACAAAAGGGAAAAGCGTGGCGCGAGCAGGACAAAGTGTATTTAATTAAGCACGGGCAGACTGATTAATTCTCTCTGATTGCGATTAAATTTCACGAACCGTACATTTATCGAGTTTGGTACATTTATATCATCCTCGTAATAAATAATTAGTAATGCGAATTCGCTTACAGAAATTTAATACTGAATCGACCAAATAATTAATTGCACATGCTGTGCATTGAAACGAATTATTTGGTCCCTCTATCAAATTTCTGTAAGGATCGATTGACTTTAATTAATGCATCGTCGCATCAACGTTACGCACACGGTGTGCAACATTTTTCACAGCCCTGCGAACATTTGTTCTAGCGAAATATTCTACGCGCCTATTCATCCGTCTTTGCAACATTAATAAAAGAATCTCTGCATGTGTGCACGAGCCGAGTGTTCATTGTATCCACTCGGCGAACTTTAATTCTGGAGCCGGAAAAATTTCATCGATCAGATCTTAATGTATACAGGGTATCCCAAAATCACTGGATATTTTTTCGGCAACAGATTTTTTTGACCAATTTGGAACTGAATTTTTTTTTAACGAAAACGTCAAGAGAAAAAATGTCAAATTATGCAATTTTCCAGACGTCATATGCCAGGAACAAATTTCAAATTAAATCTCCAGAAGGAGAGACTCCACCCGAAATTGCAATTTTGATATTTACATATGACTTTCTTTTCAAAGTTTGCGAAGAGGCCTTCTTTACAATCGCTCGTTACAACTTTGAAAATCGTTGATGTCTTGACGTTCTTGCGAAGACACATTTTCAAATTGGCACAAAAATCTATTATCGAGAGGACATTTCGTGATTTTGGGACATTTGTATACGCGTACAGAATACTCTCTATTTTAAATGCCTATATATCTAATATATATATGTAATATATAACGCATTTTAAAAAAGTTTCAGATAGGATTTGTCTTATGTTTTCGAGAAAATAACTTAAGATAGAAATAACTTTTCTTCTAAGCCTTAAAAAAAATGCGTTTCTCTTTCAATATTTTGAATTATAGGCGTTTAAAATGTGGCGTACTATGTATACACAATTTCAATTAAATAAACGCGGGACAAAGGCCACATTTGTTTGTAAAGGAAGCATGCTGTAAAAGCATTTACAAGTACTGTTAAAACGCGATAGTAGCACATTAGCGCTCTTTGTGCTCTCCACATTGTGATGTCGGTAAATTTGTAAACGTTGTATGAAAAGCAAAAATTAAGGCATTCGCGACGACGTACCTATAGCTACCAAGATTGTATAAAAATATTTGAGTGCGTTGTTGCGATTCTTTTTATCTCCCCGGTCGCGATTCTGTCCATTTCTCCTCACGGAATTCTCATCCTGAACTTTGCATCTTCAACGTGCATCTACAAAATATTCATTTCCGTATTCATTATCTCATTAAGATGTATAGTTTTTCGAGCGATAAATAATAAAAGTCTCTTCATTTTAAAAATTAAGTGTCTGCTCTGCTATGAATCCTATTATTAGAAATATATAACAATAAGTTTGTACTTTATAGTTTTAGAGCATTTGCAACACAGCAAAGTATATATAAGATGTGATCTAAAAAAATATGTATATGGGAAGCAGGTGTACAGTGCGAAAATCGAGAATATTATATAAATTTAAACCTTAAGACTGAATCTTAATGAAATTTTTCTTAGATTTCTTCATACATATTTTTTTTCAGAATTTTCATAATATAATTTTAGAACTTTTTTTAACTTTCTCAGTTTTTTATTGAATTGAATTATATAAATTGAACTATTTTGCAGAAATGCTAAAAAAGTCTACGTCTCATCTAGAATTCTTTATAATATACTTATTATATATAATACTGCACTTATATGCAAATTCTGAAATATTATATAATTAAGATTTCTTGTTTTATAATTTTCGAAGAAAACTTGTAAAATCTGAAGTTTAGAGTATTTTTTAAATTAAATAATACGTACGTTTTATTTAAATGATAACAAAATGATAGGCAGCTTTTCTTGGTTTTTGCAGTCAATGTGTCATTATACATTTTGTTAAGCAGAATCTATATTATATATTTCTGCTCACATTCTGCTAACAAGATTGTCAAGCAAAATTACAGTTTCGACAGAGATTTAGCTATTCTTGGTCGCTGCACTCATGCTTTTTTAAAACTACCTTCCTCGCTTTCGTCAAACTTCAAATGTAAATATTTACTTCATTTTTAATTCAAATGTATGTTACATTCAGCTAAAGAACAAACTTAAAAGTCTGTTAAATACGGTCTTATTAAGCTCTGTTCGATACGTACTCTAACCTCTACGCAAGTCCGTCTGAATGGGCACTTAGCCAATTGCGTTCGATCGAGTCTGCGCGACGCTCGCCGTGAGTCGCGATCTCGCTGTTTTTGTTATGAAAACGATCAGCTGTGAGAGAGAGAGTCCTGAGGATTTTCGTCGCGCACCGGTTACACGCGTACTTCGTCCGCGGCGGGGCAAAAAGTTTTTCGATCGAAACGAGACGGTGACGTTCCTCCTCCCGCGCGAATGACGAACGTCGAAGCGTCGAACGCGCCGACGACGATCCGCGTCTCGTCCGCGACCGCCGACGTGCGAGCCGCGCGCGGCAGCGATCCGCCGCCGACGTGAGCGTGCGGCGATCTGAGCGATTGATCGTTCGCGCGGGCATCTCCGCGCGACCGCGATTAATCCGATCTCCGGGGTGGAGGTGGTGGCGGTTTCCCGGTGCTTCCGTAGCACCCGCTCGGTGGACCCCCTGCCGCGGGAGTCGCGCCGCGGGGGATCGCAGGGCGGCGAGGAACGACGGCACCGATTTCCCCCTCACGGTGCCCCGTCGTGGGAAAGGCCAACGTCGACACACACAGATGATAACAACCGCGCACACGCTCGTCCCGCGTGAAGTCCCACGAAAATGGCCTCCTCGGAGATTGACGATTTCTTGGCGGGGCCACTCGTCACCTGGGTGAGTCCTCCTCTCGGCTTGGGAAACTCGCTGAGAAAAGTGTGACGAAATTGTTAAGAAATCTCCACCGTGGCTCGATCACGTTAATCGTAATGTCTTCTTTGTCGCTCCAGTTTGCTAGCTGTTTGGAGAACCCCAATGCGTTGGCGAACTATGAGGACCTGGTGGACGGGGTCTTGTTGCACAGTGTCTTCCTGCAGATGTAAGTTCTTTGGTGTAAGCAGAGGACGTATCGAGTCATCGATTTGCGTTTGCCATTACGGAACGTTTGTGTTAAGATGTAATGTTTGGTATTTTTATACTTGTAGCAATCCGGAGCCGCTGCACGACGAAGTAGCGCCGTCCAACAACAATCCCGTGATCCGCACGAAAAACTTGAGGACCGTGATACAGAACATAAAGCAGTTTTACGAGGAGGAGTTGGATCATGTGATCTTAAAATTGCCCGACGTCGCGAATTTGGGAAAGGAGCCGGAGTTGTACATAGCGGATATGAAGTTGCTGCTGTTGTTGCTCCTCGGATGCGCCGTCCAGTGTCCGAATAAGGAGAAGTTTATTACCAAGATAAAAACTCTGCACGTCGACATGCAGCTTGCGATAGTAGAGTGCATTAAACAGGTATTGTATCAGTCTTAAAATAATTACTAATCAAGGCAGATATTACTGAGATTATATCAATGAAATTTGTAATAATGATGTACAAATCTTGATGTATTCAGGTCACGGACCACCAAGACATAGTCATTACGCAGGATGGGATGGAAAATGCAAATATGGGTTATCTGTTTGTCCAAATCAAAAAATGGATCCAAGAATTGGATTTATATCGGGAGGTACGCAATTTTCTAATTATCTATTGGACAATTGCTTTATTTGTACATTTAACGTACATCTACAGTTGTTTTTGGTATTACAATTATGATATTACATTTTGCAAAAACAGAAATGGAGGGACACAGTGCTGGACGATAGCGTTGAGCGAAACGATTCGTCTATCAGCGCGGAATCCGAGGACATAAGTAAGGTGCAGCAATCTCATCCCGTCGCTAAAACGGAAAGAGAGGATAGTCATCATTATGCGGTTGAATTGGCCGACTGGAAGTCTAGAGTTCGGAAACAGCGTCAAGAGTTGTGCGTATCTTGTAATTAGCTTTCTATTTCTAGCTTTCTGTTTATTTTATTATAAAATGTTTAACAAATCGCAGTTTAATTGGCGAGAGGCTAAACGAAATGAGTAGAAAATGTAGAATAATAAATGATTTCTATTAGTTGCATTCATTTAAAGAAAAATTATGTTTTTTACATTAAAATTTACATGATACTATGTATTTTGTGCCACTAGATATCTATTAGTAAACGTTTTATTAATTCTTTTATTAATATTACAATTTTTAAAATAATGTGTACAATTACAAACAATTGTTAAAAAACTAACGATATTAAATATGGTAATGGTGTTTAATAAATCGTGTTTACATATAACTTTTACAGGGAGGAAAAAACGGAAGCTCTACTCGAATGTAAGGAAGAACTGGAGCATAACAAAGCGTTGCTCGTAAAACTAAGGCAAGAGGTAATGTATATTGAGTAATTCAAGTTCTTTGTAGCAAATATATAAGGTACATAATTTCAGAATCAAGAGTTGATGCACGAAGCTCGTACCGCTAAATCGTACAGGGATGAATTGGATGCTGTGATTGAAAGGGCAGACAGAGCGGACCGTTTAGAGATAGAAGTGACGCGATACAGAGAAAAACTTACGGACATCGAATTTTATAAAACACGGATAGAGGAGCTACGCGAAGATAATAGGTAATATTTTTAACTTTATATCTTCCGTGATACTCTAGCAATACAATGAGTGAAGTGAGGTGTTATACATTCGACTGTTGTTGTGCATTTAAGAGTTTTAATGGAGACCAGAGAAATGCTCGAAGAACAGTTAAGCTCATCGAGAAACAGAGCCGACAAAGTATTGGAGCTTGAATCTGAAATTATCAAGTATAAACAGCTACTCAACGATATGGCGTTGGTAAGAATTCCAGGAATATAGTATTACTTAATCTATAATATTGTGCATAATAAGATATATGTAGTAAATTTTGAAAATAATTTACAGGAACGTGCTGCTGACAAAGAAAAATATCAGGAGCTCGTTGAGGAAAATACGCAGCTGCATCAGTTGACAAAAGCCGCCGCCAGTGAGGCTGCATTAGCTGGATCTAGCGACTCTGAAGAACCAGGTAATATCGCGTTATAAGAAATTTTATTATTAACGAAACGATATTTAAACGATTTTTTAAATGAAGATGTTAAAAATGACATTTAATTAACGTTTCTAGTGCACAATGATAATAGACTGTCCGAACAATTAACGAGCAATGCTCAGGCACGAGCGCTAAAATTGGAACTGGAAAATCGCCGTTTAAACACTTTGATTGATTCGCTGAAAGAGAGTTCATTCCATGAAAATTCCTCTCGCGTTTTGGAGTTGGAAAAGGAGAAGAAGAAGCTGTCGTTGAAGATTGAATCATTGAACGATAATAAAGAAAGACTTACGCAACAAAACACCGACTTAGAATTAGTCTGCAAGCAAGCGTTGGAAGAAAATAAGAAACTTCAGAACAGTCTTAAAAATCAACGAGCTTCCTTCGAGAAGCAGCAGCAAGAAGTCCAGGTACGTTAGATTAAATTACACTTTTCTAAATATTTCGTTTTAATATTGACGGATTTATTATAATATGTCTTTTCTGATGAGTTAACTATTACGTCTTTTTTCTTACTATATTTATAGACCCATCACGTAAAGATGATGGAATTGGAAAAGAATTATGATACCGCGGTGAAAGAGAAGCAACGTGTTCAGCTGTTACTGGAGAGCGTGCAACGACGCGCTGATGACTTAGAACGCACTTTGGAAACGACAAATCAAAAAGTTGAGGAATTGAAGCTCATCGAAAACAATATCAACGATATCAACTCTAAATGCCTCGATCTCGAAGCAAGGCTAACGGCGACCGAGAAGGAGAAGGACGCCGCGCAACGCGACATTCATAAATATAGAGAAACAATTGAGGTGATTATTAATAAAATTATGAATATTATGCTGCATGGATATTATGGATGTTTAATGTTGACGTAAACATTTTCGTGTAATATTTTAGGAGAAAGATGTGGCCTTAGACAAAGCAACAAATTCAATTGAAGTCTTGGAGAGGAAAGTAGGACAACTTGAACAGGAGTTGCAAGATTGCGTTACGCAGATATCGAGGTATGTTTGAGGAAATCTATTATTTGTGTAATAAGTTATCCGTGATAACTTTGAACGTCACAAAATGGCCTTTGTTCTAGATTGCAAGAAATTGAGCGATCCAGCAAAGAACTCGACTCACGAGCGGCGATCGATAGAGAAACTTTGGAGATACTTCAAACTAATCTCGTCGCAGAAAAGCTGAACAATCAACAGTTGTATACGGTTTTGGAAAAACTCGGTCTTAGCGATAATACATTGCTGTCCCAACCTCTGGAGACCATATTGGAAAGGTATGGATAAAGTGATATCAATGCGGAAAGAAATTCTATTTTTTTTTTGCTAATTCGTAATTATATATTTGTAAATTTATTTGTTGCAGAATTGCCCAAATACCAGAGGTGATCAATCATATTAAAAAATCCTTCGTATCGGAGAGCAGTGAGGAAGTAACGTCTGAATCCGCATCTTGTACCGACAAGGAAAGCGATGTTAATAAGACTTTAGAGACCATGATAGAACCCTTAAAGGTATCTGCATTTACAATAGAACATCACAATCGTTTGTGCTCGCACTTCATATTATACTTTATTATCCGATTTTAGAGAGAACTGGAACACTTCCAGATGAAGGCATCCATGTCTGAAACAGCAATGGAGCATTTATTGTCCGAGAATGCGAAACTCCAGGTTCACATAACGACGTTACAGTCGCAGAGCAATTCGCTAACCGCGCAACACACCGCGCTCCAATTGGCCAATTCGCAACTTGTCGCGGAGAAAGAAGAGGTATTTGTATTTTGTTTTTTTTTTACTTGCGGTGTAACTTTTAGTAATTTTGAATGAAATTTTACATCGGTATTAACCATCACTTTTGCATGTCTAGCTCCTGAAAGAACGTAGCACACAGCAAAACGTGTATTCCGCGCTGCTTCACGATCAGAACACCTTGCAATCCTTGCACGAGCAACTGAACAACGAGTACGAGAATCTACGTCGCGAACGCGACGCTCTTAAGTCGAATTTAAGAGACGTGAAGAATGAAAACAGAACGTTGCGCGAGACTTGCGAGAGACTGGAGGCGAGAAGTGAAACACTGCAATCCGAACGGGAAGCCTTAATTAACAACACGAAGAGCTTAAATAATTTGCGAGGAGAACATTCGAAGTTGAAGGTATCCATTTGTAGAGATATAAGTAAAACATTTGATGTTGTATATAAATTTTGTTTTAATGATAATTTAAAATGCAAATGTATTCTAGGATGACTTCAGAAACTTGTATACGGCGAGCGAAAGATTAAAAGCGGAGTACAGGAACTTGCAGGATGATTATAGGAAGAATAAGATCGAGATGAACCGCCTGAGCTTAAAGCAGACGGAAATGCAGGGCGAACTTAGCGTCAAGGACGAACAGTGCTCGGATCTGAAGTTAGAAGTCAATAGCCTTCACGAACGATGTGATGTACGGATATTATAATTTTATAACCATACTACAATTTATTGACTATTGAGAAATACTATTGATTACGAACTTTCGTCCTTTCCTTTCTCTTTAAAGAGGCTACTGGAGATGAACTCTGGATTGGATAACGACAGACGTTCTTTGATGGAGCATATAAGCTTGTTATTTACACAATACCACGAACTTTTAACACATTCGCTTCAAGATAAGGAGCATTATCATATGGAAGAAAAATTGTTTGCGTTAGTATAATAGCTTATTATTCTTCTAAAATATCATACTTCGAGTCTTTTGAATTATGTTAATAGTTATTATTTCTTATTTATCAATAAATAATTTTTTTTAATGTATATACGTTGCAGGGATAAAGTTAATCACTTGTACAGACAAAAAGAGAAGTTGGAAGACAAGATTATGGAGCACTACAGAAAATTGAACAGCTGCACTACCAAGAAGTACGTGTTTAGTATAGAAAATTATTAATTTTATAATTCATTATGATTCGTTAAATTTTATATAAGGAACAACTCTTATCATAAATTATACATGTATGTATTTTTAATACAGGAAAGGTTTTGGGGCCAGTCTAGTTCGCAGAGTCAGAAAAGCCGGATCGGAGCTTCTTAATAAGGTAAAAAACTAATTATATAAAATATACTATATTTACTTTACGTAACATCTTTCCGATCTTTGATTTTGCGGTTTAATACATCTTGTTATACCTTCATAATTCCTAGTTATTTCTAAATGTCTCAATCAAAATGACAATGATAACACTTGAATTGTTTACTAGAATCGACGTTCATGGGCTGAAGATTCGAAACAATCGGACAGTAAAACGTACGAGTCGGACACAGGCGGGAACGATTCAGACGCGAGCACTGACGATTACCATTTACCTGGTAAATAATTTTTTAGAATATAAGAGATGTTTAATTCATCGATTACTGACAAATTGACAATAAAATTTCTATTTTTTTTGTCTTTCAGGACCGAGCAGAGTTTTTGGATCAGACGCGCTTGGGCATGCGGGAACCAGAAGAACGGTGTATTATACTGACGATTCCCCACCATCATCCGCTTCTTTACCTGTAAGGAATACAATAGTATAAAACATTAACAAATCTGTCGTATTGAAAAAAAAGTACAATGTTCATTAAGGAAATCTTTCAAACGCAGACGGAAAGGCTGCTGAGCGAGTCCTTCCAGGAGCAAGGAGACAACGCCGCGCAGATGGAGACGAATTTAAAACCGGAAACGCAAGTCGAGTCACGTCCCTTCTTGATCTACAACAAAGTATCGGCGGTCATAAACGAGTCGAAGAACATTGGCAGTCCGTTGAAGGATGTAGCGCAAGATGAGGCACTCGCGGAACCTCCCGCCGACAAAGAGCCAAAGACCGGCAGTCCGATATGGTACGAGTATGGTTGTGTATAAACTTCCTCGATGCTTCCATTAATACGTCCGAAACAAAAAGAGAGAAAAAATAGTGTTTTTATACGTATATTCTCGTAATTTCCAGTTTACAAGAAAGCTTATGTATAAGCATCCCTCCACTGCATTTTGATGCGTATTTTTTCCTTGTTAGTGCATTAAAAATCTCACTATTTTGTACTCTCTAACGGACAAAAACTAACGCAAAATACGAGTATATACTATTCAAAAAAAAAAAAATCGTGAAACCGTTTTACAGAAAGTATTACATATACTAAAGATTTATATTTTGTAGCTTTAGTAAAACGAACTACCATAATTGCTGATGCGATCGCTCCCGAAATTACAAAGTAGACTTAAGAATAGAGCGCCTACGAGTTCCTAAAAAAAGCTGTTTGTGTTAAGATAAGTCTCTAAAAAAATACTTTTATCATTGACTCGATTTGCGAATTTGTCGTGTTTTTTTTTATCTCGTGTGTTTTCAGGTCCAAATCTTTTTATAAGATTTTGAGAATAAATTTCATTCGCGAGTAGAAGGTACTGGCTGGATGTGATTCATAATTAATTTATGAACGATCCTCTCGAGGATGATCATGAAAACATGAGATAAAAGTGATCAAATTAAAGCATTTAATTATAGCGCGCTTGCCTTTATTTAACGTTTAATCGATTTTATTTTTACATATGTACATTTACATACTTGTCGAAGTTTTCTGTTATATATACCGTTCACAGCTAGCTAATGCCACGTATTTACCTACTATCGAAGTGTAGGTAGAATTTCTATGTTCATATTCTTCAGAATGTAAGATATAACTCTTCTCATTAATAGACGCCAAGACTAATATAGTTGACAAGAGCTTATGCTGATAGTAACACAGCATAAGCATGCAATTTGCTTTTGCAGGTTACACCGATTACCTCTTTACCGCTCGACTTATCACATCGATGTGTAAGCTAAACAGATTATTTTCTACATTTTGATAACTTATACATTTTATAATGATTGTGTATGCGCTAAGTATATGTAGATATACGTCTTCTGTGTCTTACAAGTTTTTGTCAAGTGAAATCATGCACAAGAACATAATCGAGTACTTAATAATTCAGTATTGAATAATCTCTTCGTCTTTTATCGTATTCTTGCTACTTCCGAGCGCTGCCTTCTAACGCTGTCTTCCTGCAGAACGCGATACGAATCGTCACGATCGGTGCGTGATACGTGATTTATATTTACAATTCCGTTATTGCATATTGAATAAAAGTAAGCACTTAAAGTGATTAAAGTATTCCCGTTTTTGGGCTTGTCATAATTTATCTGCAATAAATGACAGTAAGTTAAAGCTGTTAAAGCATTGAAAATGTAAAAAGGATACTTTTCTTTTCGCTAAAAGAAAGTATTACGCGAGAGAGGACAATGCTTAATAATATTTAATCGAAATATATTTAAAAATAAAAGAATCGCAATAGAAAAAACAGAAAATGATATTTTTTGCAATTAATTAAAATTATACAATTATTTCGAGTAATTTGTAGAAATGATTATTAGCAACTTCATACCATTGCCCTCCTGCTGTCAACTTCATGTTCACCGACGTGCGCCTGTAACGTGACGTTGGATATGCGATCTTCATGAAGCGCAGGCAGCAGAAGCGCAGACGTGAAGGTGCTACAGATGGTTACAGACGGAACATTGTCGATACCTGATGGTGACAAATGCAAGTATCATTGAACAGAAAATTGCATTACATTAATGCTGAATGCAGCTGATCGATTTTTTTTTTATATCAATATATTCGAAGAAACTGTATATTAGCTATTTTCCATTTTCGCATAATGGTTCTATTTATAAGATGTAGAGTTAATTATTTTAATTACTAAAAATGCCGTTTCTTGCCGAAAAAAGTATATGACAGTGATCTTTCACAAATATATGGGCATTGTTACATTTCTCGATCAATCGGATATTACGATT